CTGTGTCAATATAGTTTTTTGTATGGTACCTGGTTCTACAATTAAAATGGTTTGATCTCCTTACTAGACTACACAGTGGAATGTATAAAGGAGTGTCTGTTTCTATCATGTTTTATATCTATACAAATTACGAGCCCAGTAATTAACAACTAATGAAAAACAAAAAAATACAAACTTGAAATTCTTGTAGCTGATTCTTTTTAACGCCTTCAAAAAGGAGGAGGTTCTCAATTCGTCTGAATCTTTTTTTTATGTATGTTCACCGATTACTCGAAGAAGCCTGAACCGATTTGGAAAATTAGTTTTTTGTTTTAAAGGGTATACTTCCCAGATATTCCCATTTAAATTTTATTGAAATCGGTCAAGCGGTTTTTGAAAAATCAACAAACATCTAAAAATTGTATACATCGATGATATTTTTGCTTACTTACATACCTTAAAACCTTGCAGTCTCAGTGGAGCAGTGCGTTTAGTTGGTCTTTGTTAGTATTGTATGAAGTCGGTTCACTTTTTTTCAAAAGTATTTTCTACTTTGTAAGCTCCTACTAGGTAAGGATTTTTAGGAATTTCCCTCTTAAGGGATGAATGGAATATGGAAGTTCGTAATTTTCTAAGTTAGTGGAGAGCAATAGTGTTTTAATGAAACCATTGAGATTTGACTGTAGAATAACATCAATACAATATTATAAGTTAGTGTTTCGACTGCCTTCCTTTTCATTGCATGCTTTTTGCATTGCGTATTGTTTTAAACAATATTTTGAAATGAAAAAGAGTTATGATATCGAAGATGTAGGTGGACTAAAACTACATTGTGTTTAACAAAAGTTAATAACGAAAGGCAGTAACGCAGCAAAGGTGAAACAGTGAGAGCTAATAAAAGAACAAACGATAATATTGCATCTGTGTGTGGTGGGTTCAAACCCCCCCATGTCTCTCAACAGTCTGGGTGTTCTTTGTGTCCGTTTCATGTATGTTTCTAAAGTCCCCCGCGACACAGGCATGTATTCCTAATGCGGGAGTTGTCTCTTTAAAAAAAAGAAAACTTTTTTCAGTACGCTGCCGAACGATGATCATAACTCAGGTGAAAAATGTGACTGACTATTCCGTTCTTCTTTTTTTATAAGAGTAGAAGTCGGTAGGAGATGTACAAACAGTTATTAAGTAGATATTCTGTATTGGAGTTCCTATACATAAAGTCTCTTTTACCTTATGCTTTCGCTGCATCACCCAATCGGTTGACTGGTAGAGAATGCCTTAGGCATAAATTCTACAGTTGTGCATGAAGTACTAATAAAAAAATAAAAGTAATGTTTAGGCATTTTAGTTTACTTAATTCCATTAAATATCTGTAGACGATGTGAAAAGACTTTGATAAGAGATCACATAGTTTTAAGGTACTTTAAGATAATATAGTTACTTTTGTATAAAATTAGATAAATTTAAGAAGTACCTACATCGCATAAAAATCAGTTTGGAATTATCTACCTGTCAACGTTTACTTTTATCTTTTATAATTTGTATTTTATTTCTCCTTGTAAGTGATTTGTGTAATCTTGAGAAATAATGTAATATTTAAACCGTATAATATATTCGAACTAAGGATGACCTTGGTGGTTTGTGTAACGAACTGCTATTCCAAAAGACGCGGGTTTGATTCCTGCTCGAGTCAAACATTTGTGTGCATGAACATTTAATGTTCGATTTAGTCTGGGTGTTTCTATGTTTACTTGTATGTAATTACAAAAATAAGTATATATGTATTTATATCAGTTGTCTAGTACCCATAGTACAAGCTTTGCTTAGTTTGGAACTAGATGACGTTGTGTGAATGTGGCAGAACTAAAAAACTAATTGTGCCAAGTACTGATATAGAAATGCTTTGATCTTATCGCCTCTCTAATTATTTCAATAAAAAAATTGTGACATAATTATTTCAATTAAAAATCGACCAGTGTCGTCATCATCATCATCACATTAATTTCTCTGGCATTACCCCAATTTTATATGGGGTCAGTACAACGTGTAACATTTGGCGGATTTCTTTCATAGCCGTCCCGTTTCTTGATGCGAACTCTTCTTAAGAATATAATTGTTTTTCGACGGGACAATGGAAGTATCGTTTTATGAAATATAACCTATGGGACCATGGTTCTTTTAGTATCTAATCAGATGGTTAGTAAAGGGGACTTCCATACATACCTTTAAAATTTTGAATTTTTTATTCTACTCGGAAAATAGAGTACAGGTTTAAACTTGACTTTATGAAAACTGTTACGGGGGCTGTTGACAAGCCAAGGATTCTTGATACGTATCTATCCATACATACTAATATTATAAATGCGAAACTGTGTCTGTCTATCTGTCTGTTACCTCTTCACGCTTAAACCGTTGAACCGAATCGGATGAAATTTAGTATAGAGATAATCTGAGGTCTGGGAAAGGACATAGGATAGTCCTGTAAGGGGGTGAAAACGGGGGTGGAAGTTTGTATGGGGAATCAATAACCGCTGAACTGATTGAAGAAGAAGAAGAGATGAAATTTGCACAAACGCTAGTATACTAATAAATGCTGAGAATACTTCGCAAACATCTTTTAAATAAAGCACATAGATAAGAACGTAAAATTTGTAATATTCAGTAGGAAATGTGCAGAAGTTTAAATTTTTAAACAATAGGTGCTATAAAGATACAAGTGTCCAGTGTATACTTTGACCTATTCTCGTACAAAATTCTTTACAATAACAGCTCAAATTATACCGGCATTGAAACAAAACAATACATTGAAACCGGTAGAAATTTGACCGCCAGACGATCTCTAGTTATGCATAATATTTCGGAAATTTGTTGAGGAAACTATGCCATGTTTTAAATTTTGTTATTTAAACACGCTTGTTATGTCTGATTTGCTACCATTGTTAAGTAATTCACACTATATCTCATTTCATTTGTATTCAATAACAGAGTTACGTCAGTACAATATGGCCTGGCCTTGAACAATTTGTTAGTTTAGTTCACTTCACAGTGCCTCTTGGTCTAACATGCCCATAATTCTAAGAATGTTTTACATCTGAAACAAAACTATGTCAAGTGTTTATTAAGGTTTCATTAATGATCATCATCATCATCATCAACAGCCTTTAATAGTCCACTGCTGGACATAAGCCTCTCCTTAGAAAGGAGGTTTTGGCCTACTATACCACGCTGGCCAGACGGGTTGGTATAGGGTTTGTGTCAAGTTTTCCTTCTGTCTGCAGTGCTGTTGTCCTGCGTAGTTTTTTCCCTTAGTCGGCTCTTACGACACCCACGGGATGAATAGGGGTGGTGACACTCTGTATTCTTAATCCGTCACCACACGGACGGTTTCATTAATAAAAGTAATTAAATAAGTATTGACAATAAATAGTTTAAAAAAAAGTGTCACCCGCTTCAATGCACCTGCAACACGATGAATTGTGATGAAATATTCCATTTGCGCAAGAGCTGGATGCGAGAAGCCCAAAATCGATCTAAGTGGCGTGCAATGAGAGAGGCCTATGTCTAGCAGTGGACTGCGATAGGCTTATGATGATGATGATGATTCCTATTCTTGATTCCTCTTATGTATCTTTCTTTTGAATTTGATTTGAATAGGACCAGACGTGGAAGTAGACGCTCTTAAATAAAATAAATAATTCAAATCGGTTCAAAATTGAAGGAGTTCTGATGTAAGACATGATTCATGGTTGCTTGTTATTCATGGTTGTTGCATAAGGTGCAATACCTTTTTGTAAACTCGACGATGAACATAATATTTTTTTAAAAATACGTCAGTATAAAAATAATGAATTTGAAATTAGAATGGAGCCAATTTTTCTAGGGCATAGTTTCAATGAATATCATTTGTGTAATATGTAGTTTTTTTAAATGTTTTTAATACGTTTATTACTTTTTTAAAAGACATTGCTAAAGTTTGACTCATAACGCCTGACAAACTGAATAATATTTGTTAAATACCAAACGTTATTTATAAAACTATTCTTTTAAACCAGTATGGACGTGTATACCTAATATTTTATACATCTATATTTTTTTACCAATCTACGATATACGGAATGTTTCATAACATATTATTTTCTTCTTTTTTTCTTTTTTCTACGGTTCCTAATAATATTCTCCACAAACACCATTAACCTCTTTACCGACTTCTCTTTTTTATCTGCTTGGTATTGGTATCTCTACCCTTCAAATACTCCGATGTGAAAACCTGTAGGGGCGATTATTTTTAATAGGTACGTCTTCAAAACTAACCAACTTTGAAATGAGTCCTAGTTAATTGATTAAATAAATAAAACTATTTGTATTTTTTATACACTGTACCTTGAGAATAGCTATTATTATTTTCTAGTTTTTGTCCATCTTTGTACTAGGTACTAATGCAATGAGGATAAAAAGTCACAGTCACGAGGCTATGATTACCGAAATAGGTAAAAATAGCTTGTAATTAGTACTGCAAGTATATTTAAATTACCCAAGATGCACTCTGTATTTGTGATATAATTAATACTGTAAATTAGTAACTTGCGCAGACGACGCCGTTACGTATTTCTATTCAATGAGGAATTGCACAGACACACACACTTTATGGATTACCGTGCAGTTATTCTGCCTTCCTGGTCGTGGAAGAACTTACAAATACAATAGTCTGATATGTTGCTTATGTAGGGACAACTTTTTTACGTCGTAAGAGCGACACAAATAGACTTCGTCGGGAGAGTATATTGAGGAATATTGAAAGCATAACATAGTTATGCTTTCAATATTTTTGTGATGGCGTCAGTGTATATTTTTGAATTTGGAATGATTTTTAAGAATAGAATTTGGTACTGAGAAGGTTTCACCAGTAATTATTTTCAAATTTGGAATGTTTTAAAAATAAAATATAGGTTTTCAAGTTTCTTCAAAATGCAATACCAACCATTATTAAATGAGATTGTTTTATTGTTTTAGATAATTAATCTAAGATGATCAAGACTTTGATATTCCTGGCTTCGGCCGCTGTAATTGCCGTCGCTGGAACTGATGAAGTAGTAAGTTGATTGGTTATTATTACTTATGTTTTAACATCTTGTTGTAATATAAGTTAAATATTACTTTTTATTTACAAAAGCCAGCATTGTATTAAGCCATGAAACCTGAGTTAGGTACAAAGTATAAAAAAATATTAATAAAATGATCAAATCACATCGATAGAACTATGAATCGTTTGATTGGATGTTTTTTTTTGTATTTTATTCATTATACTTTTTAAAATGTGTCTTTTTATACGAATAATGGACAGAAATGTTGCATCATTGCCTGCTCGACGAGTGTAATGCCACGCCAGTTAATTAAATAATATTACCCGATAACTAACCCCCTTTCAAATTCTGGTGGGGACATTCAAAAATCCGGCTACGCAATTGTGACTGTTGGTAATAATTCATTGCCATCAGAGCCACCCGCAAACTGGCATTTGACTAATTTTGATACTTCATTTCAATTTACATCTCAAACTATTCTTTTATGAACGTCTATAGGTAAACGGCGCGATCGCACTCCTCAGCGGTACCGGAGTGACAGGCAACGTTACCTTCGTTGACCAAGCTGATGGCAAAGTCCGGGTAACCGGCAGGATCGTGGGCTTGTTAGCTGGCGAGTACGGCTTCCACGTTCACCAGAAGGGAGACATCACTGGAGGATGCGCCAGCACTCTTTCACACTTCAATCCTTATGGGGTATGTATAAATTAATAATTAATAAATCTGGACTAACATTCTAGATTTTTCTAGAACGAAACTAAGCGTAGCTTGTACTATGGGGTCTGGATATAATAATATTAATTTTAAACATCTCACACAAGACCGTCTCAACCCAAATTAAGCAGAGCCTTTGCTATGTAACCAGCTTGCTGCTAAATGTAAATGCTGTGTAATACAGAACAAATTGATAGCACATAATTATTTTTCTTGGCTGGGAATCGAACCCAGGTTCACTAACCACTAGACCAAAGGGCCGTCGATGTATATATTTATACATATAGTTCTAGATATATAAATGTTCATGTCTATATTCCCGAAGGCATATAGGCACAAAGGCAGCGTCATAATAAACGGCCATATTTTGACAACTTTAAAAGTCCCGTCAAAAATGAACTGTCGGGATTAGAAGGAAAGGTAGAAAAAGGATATTTGCCTTTACCCTTTCCTGTAGGCAGTAGTAGAGGCAGTTCCCGGAAAGTTCAAACTTAATTGGAAAAATATCATGGTGGAACAATGATATACAGTTGACGCGTAGAAACTATCGAAAATTGTCATTTCTATGCATATTTCTATATGTACGGATGGCGCATTTATTTATTCACTGTTCCGAATTGACGCATATTTATTCACTGTTTCGAATTGGCGCATTTATTTAATCACTGTTTCGAAATTATACTTTAGTTCGAAATCTTGCCGGTTTTTTTGTGTTTAGGGCCTAGACAAAAAGTTTTCAAACAGTACCAGGCGTCTTTTTAAGTAATGGGTATATCTTTAATACAGAGCTACTTACTATGGTGTAATACAAAAACAATTTTTAGGCGACGGAATGTAGCTCGCCATTTCGTATTTGTACACCCACTATAAACCAGTTTAGTTTAATAATAATTCAATGCGTTAGTACCAGACTTGTTTTCTTGTAGTAACTTTGTTATTTTGTTGATGTTATTTTGATACTCGGTATACTATCATGGAATTATCCTATAAAAACCCACCCACCTATTCAGCTTCACCTATATCCAGCTATGTAAAAGGATTGTGGAGTTTATTTTAATCTACTCATTAATTATAATAATAACAATAACAATACAAAAAAAACAAGAAACAATAAAAAAAATACAAAAAAGCTATGTAAATGGATTGGGGAAGTTTATTTTAATCTACTCATTAATTATAATCCATACTAATATTTTATATGCAAAAGTGTGTCTGTCTGTTACCTCTTCACGCTTAAACCGCTGAACCGATTTAGATGGAATTTGGTATAGAGATAGTTTGAGTCCCGTGCAAGGACATAGCATAGTTTATATTACAGAAATCATCCTTTAAGGGGGTGAATAGGCGGGTGGAACCGTATTAGATTGGTTTGATTGTTGAAAAAGGACATAGGCTACAGACATACTTTTTACCGCGATAAGCGATATAAACAAGGGCGGAGCCGTGGGCAAAAGCTATTATCATAATAAAATTTAAATTTGGCACTTTAAAGGTAATCTATTTTTTTTTTATTTCACACATTTCACGTACGGACGTCTGCTCCCTAACTAGGCAGAACCTGTACTATGGTAACCAGACTACTCATAAACATACATATATATTTCTAAATACATACATATTATAGATAAAGCACGCCCAGACACAGAACAAATGATCGTGCTCATCACTCAATTATTTGTCCTGGGTGAGAATCGAACCCACGATCTTTGGCGTAGCAATCAGGGTCAATAACCACTAGACCAACAGGCCAGCAAAAGCCATTATGTAGCTAAGAGTTCAATCTTTTGATTATTATTTGGAATCAGATGACCGTGTTTGATAAGATGTCATTTTATTATTATTATGTCGCATTGTGACTGTAATACAATTAAAACGCCTGTTTTTTCACATAACTATACAGTATTTTGGGTAAAATTTGTAAAATGATCTTAATTTTACAATTATCTAAATAAATCTGTAATTATACTTCCTACAAGTAGTCTACTCTTTATCAGATAATTTGACAAATACGATGCAACCACAAAACCTTGGCTTCTATCAAAAACATCATCATTCATCATCAACAGTCTTGGTTGTCCACTGGCTGGACAAAGGGCTCTCATTAGAAAAGTGGTATTGGCCTACTAAACCACGCTGGCCAGATGGGTTATTATAGGGTTTTGTTTCAAGGTTGCCTTCACTTTGCTGTGCTGTTGTCCTGCGTCCTTACGACACCCATGGGATTAATAGGGGTGGTGATACTCCGTAAACTTAATCCGTCCGTTGGGAATTATCTTGATATACGACCTTTGCACAGTAGTCTACTCTTTATCAGATAATTTAAGATTTACGAAGCAACCACCAAACCTCAACTTCCATCAAATACATTTATTGAATTATTTATTTGTTATTCTAGAAGCAACATGGCCACCCTGAGGATGAAAACCGTCACGTAGGTGACCTCGGCAACATCCATTTCGACGAGACCGGCACAGCCAATATTAACTTCGTGGACTCGATGATCAAACTGTCTGGTCCTAGCAGCATCATTGGCAGAGGATTGGTTCTCCACGAGAGGAACGACGACTACGGCAGGAGCCTCCATCCTGACTCCAAGACTACCGGCAATGCTGGCGGCAGAGTCGCTTGTGGCGTCATCGGCATTCTGTAGGCATATTTGTAAAGTTAATGTTTCAAGGTGTAACGAGTCAGCTGTAAAATGTTTGAGTTACGACTTTCTTAATGATATTTTACAGTCTAAATTCCAAAGCCCCATTTTTAGTCATACGCCATTTCGTCTCAAATAACATTTTGCTATACTTTCGTTACATCAATGCACCTATGCAATTTTTATAAAAGTAAATAAGACAAGGTCTATTCACTGGTATGCAAAACGGATTCGTACGTCTTTTTGTTTAGGTCCTGAATCGATTAAGGTTAAGTTAATTTAATATACCATATACTCTGCCCTATTTAAAAAAAAGTTGACAACTTTTCTTGAAATTACCCTAATAACTTCCTCTATGTGAAATAAAAACGCATAAAAGGCAATCCTAACTGGGCGACAAAAGTATTTAAGATAAGTTTAAAAGCATTTTGACGTCTAGTAATGGCTGCCTTTTGTTACAATACAATGACAAAAATACTGTCAATTTTTTTACGTCAAATCGTTTTAGCAGGGCAGCAATAAGTTCTGTACTGAACATATATATATATATCATACAGAATGTCAGTTGCAATGCAATTTTTTTTAAACCATGACTGTTTTTAAATTAATAAATTTACAATATACATGTTGTTTTTATTTGTAGGTAATTGTAGTCAGTTAAAAACTCCTTAAACTTAAAATTGAATCTATATTAATATGTATAGAATATGCTTAAATTTAGCCCGTCTTTGATGCTATGCAATTTGATGCTGAAAAAAATACCAGAGGTATTGTGATGTTTAGTTTATATTGTAATTTATATTTCCGACACCAAACGAGGGGGGTTCTAAGTTCAATGTTTGTATCTGTGTCTCTGTGTGTGTCTATAACATCATAACTTCTAAACTACTCGACAGAGAGAGTTCTTAGTTATAATTCAATAAAATTAGTTTAATCATTCGAAGATCATCAGATATTTACTAATCGTTAAAAGTTTAATTAAGGTTTATGCTTGCATATGATGCTTAGAAGATCCTGCAGTTTTACCTGCGTTTTTAGTAACTGCGGAACTTCCAAGAGTCGCATCCTTATATTTAATAGCCTATAGTAATCCCTAATAAATACTTAACCCAAATCCAGAGATATGCACGTTTAAACATACAAACAAAATTTACAACTAAGTACCCATCATCTGTTACCCATATTCCCCACAGAAGTGTCACTTAGACTGTGTTAGCTACTCTCAAAAATGAAAACTGAAAGTTGTGCCTAGTAAAACTAAAGAATAGCAGCTGTTAAAGTGCTATTTTGAAAATTAAATTAAAAAAATTAAAGACATAAACTGTAAGAATTTCTTAAAGTTTGTGTCTTCAAAATATTTCTTACTAAGAAATCGGGTGAACATAATTTCAAAATATCAATTTCTTTAGAGATACTTGACTGGTTAAACGCCTTTTTGAAGCCACAAAATACCTTATAAAAAGAGTTATTGAGTTATAGAAGACAGTCTATTTAGTCGATGAAGAAAGAGCAAATGAGATGAATAAAGTCAATAAAAATCTTATTCACTAAGGTTATTCACACACAACGCCATCTAGTTTCAAACTAAGCAAAGTTAGTACTATGAAAGCTAGATTGACTTATAGAATACTTTATACATTTTTTTCGTAAATACACATATACATGTATATAGAAAACACCAAACTCCGAAACAAATATTTGCAGATCTTATAAACATTTGGTCCGGCCCAGGAATCGAACCCAAGACCTCAGCATAGCAGTCGCATAAACTTACACCTCAGCAAGAAGGAATTAAGTCAGAGATACTTCAGTAACTCATATCTTATATATTTTGTAACTAGTCAACTGAATTATTGGGAAGTATTCCCATTCCATCAGTTACTAAACCAGTGCTAAGTGCTTCCTCCTGCTAAGTGATCTATCACTATCGTGAATTATAAATTTATTATATAAGATAACTAGCTGACCTTGCAAATGTTGTTTTGCTATTTACATTATTTAAATATATATATATTTTTAAATTTCTTAAAATCCGTTCTTAGCTGACAACTACTCGGTGAAAAGAATATTCCTACCAAATTTCAAGTATTTAGCTCTAATTGTTCCAGAGATATCGTGATGAGTGACTATATACGTGGAAATCTCTTATAAATTTAAAAGCATCAAACAATAACAACTTACAGGATATGATGCAGTAAAACTAAGGTTTAAAAAAAATACGTGGGTAAATAATAGATAGAGCTGTTTTGAATCATCCTGCATACTTATATCTCATACTGTTACAGGAAAATACCTGTAGTGCCATCATAATAAATTTAATAATAGCTTTTCTCCGCGGCTACGACCGGGTGTAAGTCGGTGATCGCGATAAAAATTAGCCTATGTTACTCGCTGATAATGTAGCTTTCTATTAATGAAGGAATTTTTAAAATCGGTTTTGTGGTTTAGGCGTGAAAGCGTTACAAAAAAACAAACAAACACTTGCACATTTAAAATATAAGTATGGATTTAATTCACACATCTTAAAAACGGGTCTCTAATCCCAAACTGGGTCTATGCCATGGTAACCAGACTGCTGACTCGGTGGTGCAGTGGTAGCGTATGCGACTTCTGTGCTGAGATCTCGGGTCGGACCAAATGTTTGTATGATCTGCAAATTTTTTTTTTTTTCGGATTTGGATGTTTTCTATGTATCAAATGTATGGGTTTACAAAAAAAAAGCTCTCTATCAGTCATTCTAGCTTTCATAGTACAAGCTCTGCTTAGTTTAAAACCAGATGGCGTTGTGTGTCAGTTGTCCGAAAATATTATTACATATTTTAGACAAATTACACCCAGATATCACACAATTATTTGTCTAGGGTGGGAATCGAACTCACGACTGGTTTAGTAGTCAGGATCACCAACCACTGGACCAACAGGAGACCAATGTCACAAAACACAATACTATTGCGAGATGAAAATATACTGAGAAGGATGTCTTTCTGTATTGGTTCCTGGGCAGCGGTTCTTTTACTAATCTACTCGATTTTGATAAACAACGAATTTAGAGACAATAAATTACGTTATAAATATTTTGAATAGGTATCAACTAAATACCCAATCAGGCAAGGGAAAATCTTTTCCTATTTTAAAGAAGCTTCCTTGACCAAGGCAGACATCTGTATGTTTTATAATGTTTTGTTTCTATCAATTTCAACAGACGTTTCGATTTCCACGGATACATGGTCCTTCGAACTAAAAACCAACACAATATTATCCTGTTTTCTTTGAGTCAATTACATGAATGAATCCTCCGATAGTGGAATTATTTTTTTAATAGTTTTTCTTTTTTTGTGGCCCCGACGCTTCTTGATTTTACTTTGTCTGAAATCTATTTTTTTATTTATTAGACGAAATGTTCGTTACTTGTAAGTCCCTAATACTTTTTAAAACTGCCTTAGTTTTTATGATCATTATTATTTTTTGACAATCGTTCTATGTAGATTTTACGTCACAAATTCTATTGTTGTTACTCTTCTGCTTTGTATAGATAAAGTAATCCAGACAAATGCGAGTGGGATTCGCCGACCGAGGATTCCGTACACATTTGTATAGATATTATAAATAGTTCAGGATCGATCGAATCTCGGAGTTTTTTAGGGCTTTGCCCGAAATTCAGTTGCCAAAACCTATAATTACTTATATTCCTGAGTTTTATAAATTAAATTGTATCTCGATGCGTGATTACGTAATTAAAATAAATACTATATTTTTTTTTTACAAATGGGTTTTCAGATTTTCCCTGTACTGTAGTATAAGACGATGTTACTTGCCAAATATCAGAGTTATAGGTCAACCTGAAGTACCCCATGAAGTTTGATTCCCTTGAGAGTATCGAAATATGCGTTTTTTGCGTATCTTTTCTTACATTAACTTAGGAGTTTGATTATTTTACAGCTTCAAGGGACATTAGGCCTAAGTCTATGGTTTTAATTTCAACTGATAGACGAACAGACAGACAACAAAGTGATCCTATAAGGGTTCCGCTTTTTTCCTTTTGAGGTACGGAACCCTAAAAATCAAGATAATCATAAATATTTTTAATATTTTAATTTGAAGGAAAATCTACCGGAGTGCATCAAAATACAGTAATATGAAAGTAGCTTAGAAAGACTCGTTCACGACCTAACATTATGCACGTGATTGTATACCTAACCTAGTTGGCCGGGGAAGCCCCGATGCCCGCCAAAAGAAGGTCAACAATAGCATTTCATTACAGTACTTCCCCCTAAAAATTAAAAGATATAAGGAAGTGAAATATAAACTCAAAAATGGACTGGAACATTCACTTACGAAGATAGGTTTTGTAATATCACGTGTACTCGTATTTAGCAGACAGTACGAACAAATTACATTGGCTTAGGTCAGGGGTTGTCCGTTTATCTATGAATATAACTGATCGGGCTAATGTTAATTTTATATATTGACAACTTAAATAAAAATCAAATCAATATGATTTATTTAAATGAAGGAAATAAGAGTTGTTTTATGAATCTCGGTAGTAATAACACAAATCACATATTATCTTATCTGTGGGTACGGGTGCATTAGTCGTAGTAGAGTAGGTTGTATACTCATCTTAACATATTTTAGTTATACAGTATTCTAGTTAAATTGTTTATTTTATTTATTTTTATGTAAGTAAAAGTTACATTTGAAAGGTTTTTATGCATGGGAACGACGTACGGTATAATTTACATGTGTAAGTCGGTTACGTTGCCCGAATAAGTGTGATGCCTGTCACCGTAGCGGTAGGACACTTACTCCTTAGATGATTAATAAAATAAAATTTTAAATTCTAATACTAAATTCAAATTTAAAATGCGAATTCGAAATTTGAAACCAATACGTTTGCAACATCTGTCATCTCATGTCAGTTATTCACCTGTAGACGACTCTTTAAAAATAATCCTTGTAATTATAAAATCTAATTAATATTTTATCATACAACAAGAAAAGGCTGATTGTTCAGGGGATTCCCTACCGCGGGATTTTTAAACGTGTTTAGTGTTTGTTTTTCCTTGATTAATATTCTATTTCCTTTTACAGAGACAGTCGGAACAATGGCAACAAAGCGGCTTCAGCATTTATATTGATCGCTACACTTGCATTTTCCATTGTATTTCCTTTTATGCTGTAAATAATGAAAACGTACTTAAACGTTTTATTTTTTTTATTTTTTGTTATACCGCCATGTTACTTAAATTATTGTACTTAAATACAACTATTTTATCGAGTTGAAGTTGTCTTATTTTTTGGCTGTCATCATCATCATCATCATCATCATCATCATCAGCCTGTAATAGTCCACTGCTGGAAATAGGCCTCTCCTTAGAAAGGAGGTTTTGGCCTACTATACCACGCTGGCCAGACGGGTTGGTATAGGATTTGTTTCAAGTATTCTTTCTCTTTGCAGTGCTGTTGTCCTGCGCAGTTTGTTCCCTTAGTCGGCTCTTACGACACCCACGGGATACATAGGGGTGGTGACAATCAGTATTCTTTATCCGTCACCACACGGATGTTTATTTGCTGTACTAAATGTAAATTTGGAAATACCAAGGGATCTCCGCAGTGCTGTTTGCGCTTGTCGAAATAGTTAAGGTAATGTGGTAAGGTAGGTGTGATGTTAGGTAAGAATTATCTTCCTCAATGGTATGATAGGCCTGTTGGTCTAGTAGTTAGTGACCCTGACTGCTACGCCAGAGGTCGTGGGTTCGATTCCCAACCATAAATATTAGTGTGATGAGCACGGTCGTTTGTTTTGTGTCTGGGTGTACTTTATCTCTAATATGTGTGTATTTAGAAATATTTAAGTATAATATCAGCATTTTGGTTACCATAGTACAGGCTCTGCCTATTTTGGGATCAGGTTGCCGTGTGTGAGATGTGTGAAAATATAGATGTGCTTAAATATATGAATTGCGAAGTGAAATTGTTACTGGAACTGGCCGTTGGCTGGTTGTTAAATACCAGATAAACATAGATCAGGAGCTGTTCAGTTTTGAAAGAAAGTTATTTTAAGCCTATAGCCGTAAATCAGCTCATCAGGTACATTTATTTACAAAAGTGGTAGTCCGTTGGAGCAAGGTCTGGCGAGTATGGAGAATGACGTATGATTTCTAACTGCAGCTCCTGTAGAGTTACAACGGTTTCTCGTGCAGTGTGAGGTCTTGCGTTATCATAGAGTAATAATATTGAAGATAAATTTGGGGCTGTTTCACTGTCAGTTTCGCCATCATTGTTTGAAGTTCGGCGCAGTAAACATCTGCTGTTATTGCCTGACCAGACCTGAGAAAGCTATCGTAAATAGCACCATGAAGAGATCACCATACAGTTACCATTACCTTTTTATTGGTAAGCTTTGCTTTAGGGCACTGTTGCGGTGTTTGATCCGGGGTCAGGCATTGCATTTTCGCTTACGGTTATCGTAAACAATCCACTTTTCGTCATATGTCACAATTCGAGCCAATATTCCTTCCTTTATATACCGATTCAACAAGGCAACAAGTTTCAACACGCATTTCTTTCTGCAGATCAGTCAAATCATGAGGCACCCATTTTTTTATCTTTTTATCTTATTGATTTGATGTAAATAAGTCAATTTTGTAGGTAGGGTAACTTTTAACCATGCCGCTATTACTGGGTAGCTTGACTCGGGTTGGCTTCCACCATCTCTTTCAATTCACCGTTATTCACCTGTGTCTTCCTCGTGGTTCTTTCTTCAAGTCAAAAGTGTCCATTACGAAAGCGTGTAAATAAAAAACGCAAGGTGCGTTCATTAACAGTCTCCTCTCAAAACGCAGCGTTAATATTGCGAGCCGTTTCTGCCATGTTAGTTCCGCGGCAAAAATGACTTGGATTTTCGAAGTATCCATCTTTCACGACTAAGCTAGATAAAAAAAACAATTGAAAGTCGAAAATCGAATGTTGTACATTTTTTAAAAGAACAACTTCATAGGTATTATGTAAAAAAGTTTTACACGAAAATCTCAAACCATGAAGTTTTTATGTCAATTTAAAGTATCTATTACTATGCAAGTGCAATTTTATACTGTAACCCCTACTCGTATTATTATTATACTAGCTGTACCTTTTTTTTTCCGTGTGGATATCCCCTCGGATACCACGGTGGCATGTCGGACACGAACCGACTAAAACCGCACGCCGTCTCGGGTACTAATAGCCGGGGAACCAGGTATACCCCTAGAAAGGAAGTCCCTGGTGCCCCGACATACTAGCTGTACCCTGCCACGCTTTGTTGTGGCACATCGTGGTTGCAAAAAATATATAAGAATTCTCTTTCTTCAGTAGTTAAAATATCTACCTATAAATAAAACATAGATGATGAAATAAAACGGCTCAGTGTTTTTCCAAAAACTGTTTTATTTATTTAATAATCTGATGTAGACCGTAACTTAAAACAAGTTATTTTTAGAACCTGTTGATACCAAAAGTCAAATTTTATCGTCTTCGAGCAAAAAATCCCCTTTTTATTGCAGCAAATGGCCAATTATTTCACCGCTGAGAAAGGTTAATTTTTATATATTTTTTAATCCAAATAAATTCAAAATTAATGTGACATCGATTTTGTTGGCATCAGATGATATAAATAGAAACTAAAAAAAATCTTATTTTTTCAATTGAATTAAGTCCGTTCAGAGTCGCTGTGTAGAATAACCAATAATTCCACCAGACAAGGCAACTCTGTGTCAACCAAACGGCCATTACAGACGCTCATAAGTTTGCCCCATTAGTCGGCTCTTATGACCCCCACGGGATAAATGGGTGTGTTGACGTTCCGTATTCTTAATCCGTCAGCACACGGATAAGAACATAGTAGAAGAATATTTGTCTGTCCGTGTGGTGACGGATTAAGAATATAGAATTTTACCGGACTGGAGACACTCTGAATTCATCCAAATACGCAAGACAACAGCACTGCAGAGAAAAGAAAAACTTAAAAAAAGCTCTATATCAACCCGTCTGTTCAAACAAACAGACGAGCAGACGGGTCACCTGATTATAAACTCAAAAGGCAAAAGTATGTTGCCCCTTTAGAGTCCGACAACAGAATAAGGGGACGGAATATGTTCCCATGGTAACCTAAATCCCTCTCCCGGATTTTAAATGATTTCCTCGGTGGTAAACAATTTCTTAAATAATAACTAAATATGTATCTTTAGTGAGGCCGTGGTATTATTCCGAACTTGCTTTTTTGTACCGCAGCATGGCTCTCGTATGGAAAAATTGAGTTCTAGACATATGTCAACACTATTTCATATTGTAAATATATAATCTACTGGATAAAGCCCGCGACTCCGCCCGCGTGTATGTACATAGTAGCCTTTGTCCTTCGTCAAGAATCAAACTAGCTCCTTACCGAATTTCATCTAAATCAATTCAGCGCTTATTGATTCTTTATACAAACTTCCATCCCCCTTTTCCCCCATAAGGGATGATTTCTAGGATAAAACTATCCTATGTCCTTTCCCGGGACTCAAATATATCTACACCAAATGTCATCTAAATAGGTTCAGCGGTTTAAGCGTAATAGAAAGACAGACAGACACACTTTCGAATTTATAATATTAGTATGAATATATTTATGTTAATGCGGACTGTAAAATATATGTGTATGTAAATTAATGATTATTATACTTAGGTATATGTATTATTTAGAAGAAGTATCTTATAGTTATTTAAAAACAAATTCTTCTTCTATTTTGAAAGAATAATGTTTTATCTTCTTTTCTTCTAAAAGGACAAATAGCCATTTTAACTTTATTCTAAGAATGTATTGTCAAAAAGGTGTCGGATGAGTGTGTCCTTACCATACTTAAAACCATATTTCTTTCCCTGGTATTCTGGCTACCCCAAGTGTTTTAAATAATATTCCTTAAAGTATGTACTTTATTCAGAGTAATAAGAGATTAAAGAGTAATATAGTACATTTGTATGTACTATATTACTCTTTAATTATGTACATCTTCACATAGTATAAAATAAAGTCTCTTCCCGTTCTTGTACACTTAGATCTTTCAAACTACGCAACAAATGCGGTTTTCATCAATAGAGAGAGACAAGAAGAAGGTTTACATGCATATTACACCCACACCACATTAGTTACTACATTGCACCCGTACCAAGCCAGTGCGGGTCGCTAATTATATTTATAGTACAGTATTTAGACATGAAATGTAACACTTATGTTATGAAGTGTTTTTTTTAACTAATTATTAGATCAACAAGTGTAGTTCATACCTAAAAGTTATTTTTCCTTGTTTACCTGGTATTCACTGCCTGTGCCACATTGCAAGTAAGCCACAGTAGTCTATACATTAAGGAAAACGATGAATTCTGGATATATTGTAAGAATGATTACTTTTTATGTCTATACTGACTTTTGCACGCGTCTCCGCCCGCGTGTATGTCATTCACTGATATAAAAAGTGGCCTATGTTATTCACTGATAATGTAGCTTTTTATTGGTAAAAGATTTTTTTTAATCAGTTTACTGGTCTAAGAATGAAAGCATAACATACAAACTACCTTACTTTCACATTAATAATATAAGAATGCATGTATGGATTTTATTATAAACACCTGAGTGACGCCTTACAGAGTTGTGGCAGGAGTGAAGACTTTTAAAAGACAACTCCCGCATTAAGAATAAATCCAGTGTCGCGGGGGACTTTACAAACATACATGAAACGGACACAAAGAACACCCGGACTCAGAGCAACAATTTGTGAATCACACAAAGTGGTATCCCATGTGGGGATCGAACCCACAACACTCAGCGCAGTAGGAAGCGGCGTGACGACCGCTTAAACCACTACGCCATCCGTGCAGTCAAATCAGTCTTTGTAAAAGGGTCTTCGGTGGCTCGGTGTCTATTTGGGTATGCCCGAAATATACACGGGGTTTAAACTGTATATCTTTAATGAATCTATAGCTACTGATCTAAATTACATAGGTATTTATTTACATGTAGAGCAAATCGGCACCAAAATCTACGAACTTGACTGGCTCGTTTGACTCGTAGTTAGTAATCCGAACTGCTGAGCTTGGGTCGTGGGTTCATTTGATAAGTAACATCATTTGTTCTTTGTCTGGGTGTAAGCTATAATACGAATATATTTAGAAATAATATGTTTATCAGCAATCTATTATTGTGGTAAAATACAGGTTATACCTAAATTAGGATCAGACGGCTGTGTGTGCGATGTGTCTTGTTATTTTGGTAAATATAAAACTCAGATCAGAAGTTCAAGGTTTTTGCTTCAGAGGGTAAATTAAACATATTTTTACCATAAATTATTGGCAAATGACGCCTAATTTTGTTATCACAAGAGTTCTAACATGGTTTTGACACTCGCGCGTTATAAATTCATCAGTTTACTTAATTTCTTTTTTCTTGTTGTCATGCCTTGTTAAGTTAACCTTTTGTAAATTGATTTGACAGTGGCAGGACATATTGGGTATATAATCTCGTGTGTGAATGAGCATCACAACACAGTCTGCATTCAGCACACGGGACTAACACACGCAGGTAACAAAAGGTGAGTCCCCAAAATATTTATGTTGTTTTATCCTTATAATATGTATTAATGTATTCATAAGGTTGATAAAGATGCTTAGATATATGTATTTTAATGTTACCGTTGCTATGTCATTAAGTAGAAGAAATAACGTAAGTTTATAAGTTCTGTCTCTACTTTCTTATATTTGATCCTCTAATGTGTAAAAAAAATATTTGACGGGTAGACTTATCGTTTCCTTTTTTCGTGTGGAAACCCCACACCTCATCATCTCAACGAGGCTCACGCTAAAGTACTATCTCGGAATCGAACCGACTAAAGCCACACGGTGTTCCGTCACATGTGAGTCTATTGCAAGGGATTCGGGTATACCCAAGAAAGTCTATCAAGTCAAATTCTCAAGGATCCAGGCAGACCTTGGTCACCATAGGTAGCCACATCAGCAGCCTTTAGTAGTCCACTGTTGGACACAGGCCTTTCCTCAGAAAGGAGGTTTTGGTACTATACCACGATGGACAGACTAGTTGGTATAGGGTTTATTTCAAGTTGTCCTTCTCTTTGTAGTGCTGTTGTCCTGCGTAGTTTTGCTCCCTTATTCGGCTCTTACGACACCCACGGGATGAATAGAGGTGGTGGGTGACATTCCGTATTCTGAATCCTTCACTACACAAACGAAAGTATACAGTACTTCAAGTTATTCGTATTCTATATTTACCTATAATTGCATTAATTATCCGTCAAGGACAAAATAAATAAGAAAAAGTTCAAATGTATTTTGGTTAATTTTATTTTATATAAGTTTTCCTTAATAATTGAATGGACGAAACTATGTTTATTTTTTTTTGTATGACTCACTAGTGTTTCTATAATTGTTTTGACTGAAACGGTTTGTTTTCAAGGTTTACCCCATTTCCATTTGAAAAAATTGTCTATTACCACCATTACCACAAGGAGAGAAAACTAGGCGATGAAGAATATATTTATTATTTACATTAACAAGGTTTTGACGCATTAACATTGGTAACACGTTTTGAATAGTTAGTTAACGGCTCAGTGATTTCTTTCAAAATAAAAGGACTGCACGGATGGTGTAGTGGTTTTGTGAGTTCAATCCCCACACTTTACAGCACTTTGTGTGATCCACAAGTTGTTGTTTTGAGTCATGAGATTCTAAGTTTCATTCATATTTGTAAAGTCCCCAAAACAGGATTATATTATTCCTAGTGCGGGAGCTGTGTTTTTAAGATAATAAATTTATTCACCATCATCATCTGATGATGATGATGGTGTTTGGAGATGGATGTGTGGAGAAGCCGATGTTCAGCAGTAGACTATTAAAGGATGATTCCTTTAATAGTCTACTGCTGAACATCGGCTTCTCCTTAGAAAAGAGGTTTTGGCCTACTATACCACGTTCGTCAGAAAAAGATTAAACATTTAATAATTAATTTCAGAAAACTTTACAAAATGATCAAGACTTTGGTGTTTTTGGCCTCAGCGGCCGTACTTGTCTTCGCTCATAATGTACCTCAGGTAAGTTATTGACCACAGACAGACATATTATTACTACTTTAAGTACACACTTACAGTACTCTTGTTGTGTATATGTACGGGAATACATCGATAACTGAATAGTTATTATATACCTTTGAATTTCCTGATGTTGTTGTTGTTGTTGGCGGTGGACATAAGTTGGCAGTCAGCTGAATCTTTGAAATACTGCAGTAAATTGTCTTTCTGTCACTTCGTATGTCAATTTAAAAGTCTTTGTCTATCCTGAAGCAAAGATAGATTTAATTCTTTTTTATTTGACATTGACATCTGTACATTAAGAATAAATAAATAAAATAAAACTTTATTTTGCAAAGACAGCATGTAACTTGTATTGAAAGGAACAAAAAAACAGAGAATACATTTTAACATAATTAGGTAGTTTTTAAGTTTTGAGGCTTACAACTTTGATTTTAAGTTCAATGCAAGACGATGCCATATTGATATCTGTGGTAGTGATCATATATGACGTGGAGCTGACGTCGTGATCATTATTTTTTTTAGGTTATCTTAAAACAAAGAGAGTAGAAACATGTCCAGTTATTTAATCTATCTATTGTATGTAATCAACTAAGCCTCTCAACTGCATCGGTAACCTATTTTGATGAGCGTTGCAAGCTAGTTCGTACAAAAAAAGCTGGACCCTTCAGCATTTACTGTGATGGATATGGATATCCCAGTACTGATTTTCCCACCATTATTGTTGATTTGACTCCGACAGCTACAATTACCACTGGATTATAGAAGTGCTAGTCTTAATAGTCACAAGTACGTTGTCGGCCTATAAGCAATAAGCCTCATTCAGTGAGTATTCTTGGGAGGAGAGCGAATGAGGGGGATTTGAAGCTACGGCAACAATTATATGAAACATAACTCTTTAAGGGAATCCCCAGACTACCTAATGGGTCTTGTCACTATTGACTTTAGAACTTGTGGAAATAAACTAAACCCATACTCAAAGATGACCGATTTTTTAAATTAAAACTATATTCTTTAGAGCGAAAGCGCAGTCGCCCACTTGGAAGGAAAGTTTAAGGGTGCTGTCGTGAAGGGCGACCTGACCTTCACCATGCAGTCTAAGGACAAGATGCTCATCACCGGAAAGATCACCGGCATGCCCCCCGGCAAGTACGGCTTGAACATTCACGAGAAGGGAGACATCACCAATGGCTGCGCCAGCACGCTTGGCCACTTCAACCCTCAAGGAGTAAGTTGTTTTTTTTGTTATTACTTTGCTCACACATTAAAGTCGTCTAGTTACCAGCCATTGGTTCTTTACTGACAGTCTTCAATGACAATGGAGTATAATAAATAGAAATATGCTGATGATTATAAACTAACCACAGATATTTTTTACGCACGATTCGAATGGCGTTCCAAAATCAAATAACGTTCCAATATGGCGCGATTTTCGCACGGATTTTTGTTACATACCTCCTAATGCTTTATAATTATTAATGATTAATAACTTTTTGAAGATTTAAAGAAAAATGAAATGAAATTTTAATATTGTCTTCAGTTCTTCTGTTTTAAGAATGTTTTTAAACGTTATATTAAAAAAGAAATGCTTAATAAACGCTATCCATCGAAAATCTGTTGAGCTAACACGCGCGTGTGAGAGCATGAATAAGTTATCATGTGATTAAATGATTGAAATGATTAATTGAAGTGATTTTGACCTAGCCAAATATGATTATTTTTAAATCTTGGAAATTGCATTAAGCTTAGATAGGCAGGTAATATTTGAATGTATTTCAAATTAAAGACAGGCAAAATCACGCCCAAAGGAGTCGGTTACAAACATACAAGTGAAGCTAATATAAAGCGTTTAAAAAGGGAATGAAGCTGTTACTTGTATTATCACTTACATATTTATACCTATAATATAGGTACCTTTAACCATATACAGCACACAAACAAATCGAACGAATATTTTACTTTAGATATGTTCCGATTTGTTCAATTATGGTATTAACACTGTGCCTAGATAGGAAACTTCTTATTAAAAAAACGAAATTAATAATAATGGCACTCTTTCCAGCACGACCACGGGCATCCTGATGATGAACACCGCCACGTGGGCGATCTTGGCAACGTTGAATTTGACAAATCTGGTGTCGCTCAGGTCAAGATCGAAGACCGTTTGGTCAAGCTGTATGGTACCGAAGGCATCATTGGCAGGTCTGTTGTGCTCGCTTCGCAGCAGGATGACCATGGCAAGACTGAACACCCATTGTCCAAGGTCGACGGCAATGCTGGAGAGTTAGTAGCCTGCGGTGTTATCGGCATTAAATAATAGAATTAGGATAGAAGGTGGCGAAGAAGAAGAATAAAAGAATTGGTCAGCATTCAGCAAGAAACATAGAGCCAAATTATGTTCAAATCATCTTGAATTTTCCTTAAAAAAAATTATAAAAATTACGCTAATGTTGCTTTTATTTAAAACAAAACTGCCAAATATATATTCCTAATCGATAATCTACATTAATCTAATCGATACTGTCCACGTTTCATAGCAATATTTTCGATAAGCTGAATTAATATGCGAACAAGGAAGTAATTTTAAATAGATTTAAACTTTAATTAGCTGACTCCTATCAATGGAAGCTAAAAAAAGTACTTTAGAAAACAGTTTCCTGAGTAGTCGATTTATGTTTGCCATAGCTTCTGCCTTTAAATATTTTAAATCTTAAACATCAGAGAAAACCGCAAGAGCCGCAATTGGATGCGGATAGCACATTAGTGGCGAACCTTGGAGGAGGTCTATGTCCAGTCATCAAAACCTTTACTAGTCCACCGCAGGACATAGGCCTCTCATTAAAAAGGAGGTTTTGGCCTACTATACCAAGCTGGCCAGACGGGTTAGTATAGGATTTGTTTCAAGTTTTCCTTCTCTTTGCAGTGTTGTTGTCTTGCAGAGTTTGCTCCCTTAGTCGCTCTCCTGAAAAACTTGTGATATTTCTAGGTATATAGTGCTAATACTCTCGTTGTTATATTTATTTACGTACTGTAGGTAAATATAACGACAAAAGCGTATAAACGTACGTCGACTAAATCTTAGAATCCCCCAAAAAGCGCTGTGGTTAAAAGCATATTATGTCAGAATACCTCACAGGCCGTACCCCTGCTCACGACCTTAAACATCCTCAGCTTAGTGTTCTAATAGAGACAAATCGCTATAATGAACAAAAAAAAACAAAATGTCTTCGAAAACCACTCAATCTACTAAAAATACTCGTTAAATATAATTGATCGTGAATAATCAGTACTCTACACAAAATCTGGGAATCCCCCACCTAAAGTATTGTAGATAAAAACTTATACAATTCTAAATTTTGCCTACGTGCTATATTTATTTGTACCCGTATAATTACACCTGTCATAGAGCATATGAATCGTGCTTCAAACGTCCTTTTGTGACCGTTAGTAGATACGAGTAATATTCGAAACAAAGAAAAGGAAAATACATATTGTATTATTATTATGTCAGTACACTTAGTTATTTGTGTTAGAAACTTTAAGTGACTAAAGGAAATGTTGTTTTGGAGTTCTTCGTGAATTGAACTGTGATTAAGTTAATAGTAACGCACAAATATTCTGAAATTCCGAATAGTTTTTTGAATCAGCTTCTTCCCTAGATATCACAATTGTGCAAAATACTGAATTATTATAGCTACTGAACATTTTTAAATTTATTCTTACCTTTAAAGTTTCGAGTTTCATGATATATATTTATGTAACTACATGTACGGGAATAACACGACGACTGGCTGTGGTCACAGTCTGGCTTTGAATTTATTGTCTGTTACAAATTAATAATAATACTTTCGGACATCTGACACACAGCGCCATCTAGTTTGAAACTAAGCAGAGCTTGTACTATGAAAGCTAGATTGACTGATAGAATACTAATATACTTTTATGTAATTACATTCTTATTATACATAGAAAACACCCAAACTCCGAAACAGATATTTGCAGATCATACAAACATTTGGTCCAATCCGGGCATCGAACCCGAGACCTCACACCACAGTAAACGCATACGCTACCACTGCACCACCGATGCAGTTAAAATAGTAAAATATAATCTACCATTTAATTACTTTAACGAGGCGAAGATCGCGTTTATCAAAAGTTATAATAATAAACAAATAATGCTATTAAATTATGTACTTACTGTAGAAACTGCACTGACTGCACGAATAGAGTTGTTTCTTAAAGCGGTCACCTCGCGGCTTCCTACTGTAGTGAGGGTTGTGGGTTCGATCCCCGCATGGGTTAACCCTTTGTTTGATCCACAAATTGTTGTTCTGAGTCTGTGTGTTCTGAGTCTGTGTGTTCTGAGTCTGGGTGTTCCTTGTGTTCGTTTCATGTACGTCTGTAAACTCCCCCAGGATACAGGACATATTCCTAGTGCAGGTTTTGTCTTTTTTTAATGTTGGAAATGGTTAGTACTTACTTCGTAGTTTGGCTTTCCTTCGCTAGATGGCGCTGACTAAGTCGTAACGTGGCTGCGTGATTATCTCGTTTATTACATTAATTTATCACAATATATTTATTTGTATCACACTTTAGAAGGTAAGTATTTGACTGTTTGGCGTTGTAGCACCGTTTTGATGCAAGCCAATTTCACTTTATGTAAGTTATAGATGTTAACTAAGCATCATTGACTCGTAGAGGTGGTCTTTTATGGTGACCTGGCCGATTAAATCGTGTCTCAACTAATGTAACCAATTTAAAGTTTGTAATTTATACACGATTGGTTCTTTAACACAGGCTGAATCTGAAAATAAAATTACATATCGATCTGCAGCCGATTCTCATCTCATCAGCATAATTTGTAAAGTGATATTTTAAATACATAAACGATTAAAGGTTTTGGCACTAGTTATTATCGTAGTTGGGATCGTACCTACGAACCGGTTCGTCCGGAACCAGACGAACACACACACACACATATGCACACACACATACACACACACGCGCGCGCACAAACACACACACACTAACAATTCTACGTATTCTGACCCATACTTCTTATAACATTGTTAAATTAATTTCTAACTTTGATTTGGTTTATATTCAGCAAGCATGATGAAACTTAAAACCTGTAACTTATCTTCCGGAGGTGGGCGTTAATGGCTGCAACACAGTTATGAACTATAGCAGTCATTATCAACCATATTCTACTGTGCAATTTGTTACTTTTAGTTGCAAAGAATAAACTTTTTATGTTTTTTTATGATCTCTGACTCAGCCGTCATACTCACTAAACACTAGATCAAAAGTCCAGTCAAGTTACTAGTTATAGATATTTCAGACATCTGATACACAACGCCATCTAGTTTCAAAATAAGCTGAGCTTGTAACCCAAACTCCGAAACAAATATTTGCAGATCATACAAACATTTGGTCTGACTCGGGAATCGAATCCGAGACCTCAGCACAGCATTCGCATACGATACCACTGCACCACCGAGGCAGTCGAGTTACTGTTTTAGTAGTTCGGAATTCTTTCTACACTCTTTAATAAAAAAATTTTTTTTTTTTTCAATACTCAGAGGACTAGCATATCTTTTTAAATTATTTGAAACCAATCTCAGTCGTAATCTTAATTAAGAACAAGCAAATTTCGGACCAAGGTTATATTTTCAAGGTGTAAAAAAGACTATTGAAAAGGCGTGAAATAGAAGAGGCCTATATCCAGCAGTGGACTGCGATAGGCTGATGATGATGATGATGAAAAAAGACTTCTTAGAAAGCCCTTATTAACGTTATACGTCTCAAGGACTGGTAACTTCAAGGGATCGATAACGAACGATTACAGTGACGCCATTAAACTTTAATCATACACCTGTAGATTCGCATAGGTTAACGCCGTGTGCCTATATATGCAAGTAGTACCTCAGCCAATGTCAAAGGACACGAACATATGAATAGTAGAACATCATGTTGAATTTTGCTGAAATAACTAAAACCTGCGCAAAAGGGTTACTGATTGTGCTCAATGTTTTTTGTATCGTAAGTTTTCTTTCCTTTTTCTGTTTTGAGGCTGTAGTTATGAGGCTTTTATGTATCGACAACAGAGAATATGCTCTAGTTAGGTTTGTAGGTACGTCAGGTCAGTAGTACCGGTTGGATTACATGTCTAATGACAGTAAAGAAAGCTTGTTATTAAGGATATATAACATATAAATGTGGATATGGCTTCAAGATATAAGACTTAAACCGATTCAGTGTCTTGTAGCGTTTTTAGGTTAGAGATTTATTTAGAGCCACTAGATTGATGAATGGTAGTAGGTCGCTCCTATTTTCATCCTATGAAAAGACTCGTAGTGTAAGAAGACGGTGATGAGACTCAGAAGTCTCTGTAAGAAGAATAAATGTAAATCATGGTTTGAAAGTTGTGTTACAGTCCCAACTACTTGTTTTCATTTCTTTTCAATCTTTTATAAGTTTGAGCTCTAACTAACTCACTGGCTGTCTATGTAACTAAATCTAGACTGATAATTTTAAATTAACTAATTATTAAGTACGTATGTGCATGCAGTTTAGAACCAAATGGTTAAAAGTTAATGATTTGGCAACGGTTAGGTATAAAATCAACCTAAAAGTCAACATTGGTATAATTTGCCGAATAAAAAAAAACTGCTAGAAGGTACTTTTTTTGTCGTAAAATTTATGTTCTTTTTTCTTCTTAGTTGATAGCACTTACAAGACTCAGTTTCGCGTTGGTAGACATCAAAGTTTTGAAGAGGTATGGCGAAGAACAGTCGGGAGAATGCATCGCAGGTGATGTGATTATAGTCGTGGCAAGTCTGGTGCTGATAGGAGTCGCAATTTTTGGATGTGTTGGGGCGATTAAGGGATGCATCCAAATGTTGCACTTGGTAAATACTGTATTTTCATAATTCAATAGGTTATGAACTAAAGTTGACATATATTATGTGAATTTGAAGTGTTTGTCGCTAGAAAAACTTTAACTTTTAATTGCACGTAGAGTGCAATGGTTAAAGTGGCCCCTTGCCACTAAAGCGTGTCTAGTACAATACTCGACGGGTTCGATTCCCACAAGGGGCAAAAATTTGATGATTTACAAAAACCTGTCAACATTTAGTTTAAATATTAGAGTAATCCTCCATTAATATATTTTTCTAACATAAACATGATTCATTCAAGTTTGAGTTTTGTTCCCCAGTATGTATGCTTCGTTTTATTAATAATCATCTTGGAGCTCCTCATCGCTATCCATGTATTAGTCATGAGATACGACCTGCAGTTGAGGGTCACCGAATGGATAAGAGAAGATTTCTACAAGAATGTCACCGTCTCAGAAGTGGAAGAACATCTCAAGATTTGGGATAGGCTACAGACTGCCGTAAATATGATTTATTTAGAATATTATATCTGAAACATTTACTTTCTATAAAAAAATGAATCACCAAAAAGCACAAAGCTCGAGAATGGCTCGACCATTCTCGGGTTAAATTTTCATATTTCCGTTAAGACACAAGGAAGGTTGTTATGGAGAGAAAAATGTAAAAATTGCAAGGAAAAAGTAACAACAAGACTTTTCTTTTCCCATACAAACCACAGAGTAAATTAATAGACCTGTCACTAGCTGTCAAATATTTGACGTCAATTAAAACAAAACAAAAGCGCGTTACGATTATCTTTGGCCTACCTTCAAGTTTATCAGGCTGTACGGATATTTATCTATGCCTGCCCAAAATAAAGTTGATCACAGGCCAGAAAGATGTCTGTCGGTGCAGCTACTTTTAAATAAAATGGCGCACTGAGGAATTTACCATTAATCATTCGTATTTTCTGTTAAATGTTTTAGAATGAATGCTGTGGACTGAACAATCCAAACGACTACATAGTGTTGCGGCAGCGTATTCCTATATCCTGCTGTGCTAGGGCTTACAGTGCGAACAATGAGATTGCACGACAGTTGATGTACAAATCCTGTATTGAGTAAGACCATTTCTTTATCAATGTACAAGTAACTGTTAACTAACTAACAAATTTTTCAGCCGCCGATAAGTGTCTCTTTTTTAATATTTATTATTTTTAAAATGCTACCACACTGTAATTGGTTATATTGCTATGTATTACTATAAATATACTCGTAAAAAATTTTTGGAACGAAGTTCCTTATCGCGCGTTGTGAAAGGGGGCTAGACGGAAAAAAATTCATACAAAAATTTGGGACGCGACACTTTTTTATTAATATAAATTGACGTCTAACTGTGGATACTGTGGATAATGTCAACACAAGGGAAAACCACTCGTAACTATAATTTTCGATACTGAACTAAATGTTATCTTTCAGAATATACAAAGTATAGGCAATAAACTTCATCTAGTCGAGCACTTCCTACAAGACTTAAACATAGATATACTGCTATTGTCAGAAGTATGGAAAAATAAGAACTATTGTGATATGATTTCGTTGTCTGGATACAGAATGGCTTCCACCTTTTGTCGTAAAACGCATGAAGGGGGAGGTGTTTGTGCAATTATTAAGGATAGTTTAGAATATCTTGAGTGTCAAGATATAAACAATTATACTATAGAATTTATAATAGAATTTAGTGCCGTAGAAATACCGAAATTAAATTGTATTTTCATTGGTTTATACAGAGCAGACCGACACATTAATACATTTTTTGAACAGCTAGAGAAAGTGTTACATAAATTAAACACCAAATACAAAAATAAATATATTATATTGGGAGGTGACTTCAATATAAACATTTTGAACAAAAATAAACAGACGGAGAATCTTATCAACTTAATGTTTTCAAACAATCTCAAACAGATTATCAGAGAACCAACACGTGTATCAAAAGGCTCCTCAACCTGCATCGATCTACTCTTCACTAACCACATGCCCATTATTAATAAAGCCAGCGTCCAAGATTATGGTCTCTCTGATCATAAGGGTATTACACTAAAAATAAAATCGAAACACTCTTATCCTAATAATAACACAACCTGGTACTTACAGAAAAGACTATTCACAGAAAGGAACATATTACATTTTAACACTTCATTAAATGACATAAAATGGCACGAAATAATCAACACACACAACAATTTAAACACCAATTACGATTTATTTCTCAATATATTGACTAAATTACTTAATACACACATACCGATAAAAAAGCTGAAAATAAATAATAAACCAAAAAAAGAATGGCTCACTACCGGCCTTAGGAAATCTTGTGCACACAAAAGAAAATTAAGGGCCTTTCTGAATGTGAATGATAATGATATTATACATAAATTTTATAAAAAGTATAGCCAAACCCTAAAGCGTAGTGTAAACATATCAAAAAAACTTGATTTTTGTAAACAAATGGAAAACTCCGATAATAAAACAAAAACAATGTGGAATATCATAAATCAAAAAACAGGTAAACAAAAAAAAAGACTCCCTCCACAAAATATATCATTAAAAATTAACAACCACATTGTAACATGTCCAACAACTATTTGCAACAATTTCAGTGAGTATTTTGCTACTGTGGGTATGGGCACGAATAACAATAAAACCAACAAAAACAGTGCGCTGGGTCGACCCGTCATAAACTCACAAATGTGCTCCATGTACTTGCGTCCTGTAGATAGAAAAGAAATAATCGACATAATACGCTCAATTAAAAATACACACAGCTGTGGCATAGATGAAATCCCCCCAATTCTATTGAAACAGTGTGCAGAAAAACTGTCAATACCGCTCACATTTTTAGTTAATCAAAGCCTTCAAGATGGCCAATTTCCAGACCCCCTAAAGATATCAATAATCAAACCGATACACAAAAAAGGCGACACCTACACACCTAGTCATTATAGGCCTATTGCTCTGTTACCCACATTTTCGAAAGTATTTGAAAAAACAATGTGTAACAGATTATACGATTTTTTAGAAAAATATAACATTCTCGATGATAGTCAAAATGGATTTAGAAAATCAAGATCAACTACACTAGCAGTATATAAGTATATCCAGACTACCATAAAACATATAAATGACAAAAAACATGTACTCGGAGTATTACTTGACATGACGAAAGCCTATGACAAAGTATTGTACGACATTCTTTTGAATAAACTAAGCGGTTCTGGTATTCGCGGCCCAGCTTACACATGGTTTCGATCATATTTAGAAAATAGATCACAAATGGTCCAAATTGACCATTTCGACCCCAATACGAATGAGGTTAAAATAGTCCGGTCTGAAAAAAGGAACATAAAGTGTTCAATCCCGCAGGGCAGCGTGTTGGGTTGTGTGCTATTTCTGATATACATCAACGACTTACCAAAAGTACTAAACAAGGAACATACATTACCTGTCCTATTTGCTGATGATATATCAATACTAATTACTTATGACAAAACCACAAAGCCGACACCACTACTTCAGGAAACTCTAGATACAGTAAATAACTGGCTCAACGACCATAACTTAGAAATTAACTATAACAAAACAAAAACTATCCAATTTAGAACATACAGAAACACCCCCGTAAACATCGACACAACATACAATGGCACACAACTAGAAACTGTAGATACATTCAAATTACTTGGTATAACTATAGACACACACATCAACTGGAAAGCACACATCGAACATACAAAAAATAAACTGTCTCGATTTACATATGCTCTATTCCAACTTAAATGCAGCACAAACGAAAAAACCGCACTGTCAGCATACTACGCATACGCATACTCCTGGTTACGATACGGCATTATGTTGTGGGGAAACAGTGTACACTTTCAGGATTTATTTATATTACAAAAGAAATGTATTAGAATTATCGGACAAATTGGAAATCGTGATAGTTGTAGGCCCTTCTTCATTAAATATAACATCCTCACACTACCATCATTATACATATTTGACATCTGCATATTTCTATCCAAGAACATGAGTCACTTCGCGAGAGTAAAAGACAATCACAATTTAAACACACGCCACAGAGACAGACTATACCTACCACCATCAAGAATTAAAATGCTACACCAGAGCCCTTACTACATGGCTGTAAAAATATACAACAAATTACCTATCCACATAAAAAATGAAACGAAGACTACACTATTCATTAAAAAACTAAAAGCATTCTTAATTACAAAATGTTTCTATTCTGTTAAAGAATACATTGAGGAAAAAAACACTTAACAAACTACATTTCTTATTACACGGAAAACAGAAAGCATATACCTAAGTACAAATCATAAAAAGAAAAATCGGTCGTGATGCTCGGAAATGCTAGGGACAGTAGGAAAATGTGTATATGTATTAGTGATGTAGAATGTCGGGTGCCTTCGTATTTTTGCATGCTTTATTTGATTGTTATACTGTACTATTAAGTCACTTAATTTGTATTGTTCAAAAAATGCTTGTACTTGTGTAACAATTTATTCTTCTGCGTTCTCTCTCAAATTTTGCAATGCCTGGAGAAGGCTTCTGAGTTGGGACTACTACATATAATATTATAAGATCATTGATGTACACTTGGTTGGCAAATAAAGATTTGATTTGATTTGATTTGATTACCATAAATTAAATTTGCTTTAACGTTCGCCAACGTCCATACCATGTTGAATACACCGGTTCTCGTCCGATCACCGAAGTTAAGCAACATTGGGCGTGGTTAGTACTTGGATGGGTGACCGCCTGGGAATACCACGTGATGTTGGCTTTTTGCTCTTTATTTAATTTTTTACTACAGGTTTTTTTTTTGGTGTATTTCGTATTTTGTATTCGTATTTTATTTTTCTTTGAATTTGAATTGTATAGTTTTTTTTTGTGTAAGTATGTAAATGTGAGTATAGTGTAGGCTTGTAATGTTAATTCATATTTTATTATCTTTCTGGTGGTTTTGAGTGATTCCACGGCCTACCCAAATGTCAACATTATATTTTTTTCTTGAAATTTTGAATTTAGGAAATAAAACTAAGTAAATATATTTCAAAACACTTTAATGATCAAAAGAAGTTGATGCTATGTACACTATTACCCAGATTTCAGTCAAAGTTTTTTTTAAATTAAAGTAAATCTTATTATAACATACAATGTAAGCCATGAATTTGATGAAAGTATGAACTATGATTAGTAATAATATTTTTTCGTGTCATCTTGTCAGACATTCAGCGCCATCTATCGAATAGATAGGAAATCATTTCGCAAGGAGATTTTATCAATGTATAAATTGTTTTAATTGTTTTTAACATGTAGGTAATAGCCTCTTTCATAGATGGCGTTGTAATTAATATCGTGTCAAATCAGTTTTAACTTTAAACAACTTCGTTCCTATCGGGTGTCCCACGACACCACACGGCTTTTTGCCATGTATTACTATAAATATACTCGTAAAAAATTTAAGTAGGTTTGTGTACGGTTCAAAAACTCAAAAAGTTCTGCACCGATTGAGCTAGAATTTTGACACGATATACAACCCGCTTTAAGGATAGTTTCAACTATTTTTCGTGTTAGTTTTGTTCCTAATTTCTCATCAATTCAACAACAATATGCCACAGAATCGTAAAGAGTGCAACTATCAATGCATAGATGTTATTATTACAAGGTATGGATGTACAATGGCTGGGTATTTACTTTTTAACAAATTACTTTTTATGATATATTTATTTTACTTGTTTAAAAACTTCATGCACTTTTGTATATCGGCTAATGCCCAGGACATTCTGTGCCATTCAACCTTTGGGCGGTGTTGAAATTTATATTTTTTATCTTTAATGTTTTTTCACACATCTCTCACACGGCCGTCTGGTTAAACATACTTATATATTTCTAAATACATTCATGTTATAGATAAAGTACACCCAGACACAGAGCAAATGACCGTGCTCATCACACAATTATTTGTCCTGGGTGGGACCTCTGGCGTAGCAGTCAGAGTGACTAACCACTAGACCAACAGGCCAGTCAAGTTATTATATTTTATACGACACAAATGACGTCTATGTTTTCGATGACATCTCTGAATGTCATACATTTGACGTGCCTGAAAACGTTCAGAATTGTCACCAAATCTAACTTGTAAGACCTGATGGAGCCATTGAATTAGAAGAAGTAAAAGAAGAACTTGTTAGACCTTTTATAGTATATTTGTTTATTTATTTGTATTATATTTTTAACTAAACATATATCACTTAATAGTAAGTATATATTATCACATCAAATAAATGTGTAAGTGACGTATTTATATTTGACAGATTTAAAACATATTACAAGAATGGTTGCGAAGAGGAGATTCTGTGCATGCTGCAATCTGACTCCAATGGTCTCATCATGATAGTTGTTGTCTCATTTTGGTTTGAGGTACAAATACACTATTTTTGCATTTATTTCTAGAAATATTCTTAATTCTTTGCGTTTGCTTGACTCATTGAATATTTACTAAGAATAAAAATAAACATTCATCAATCATTATCAACGGCCTTTACTAGTCCACTGCTAAACATAGGCCTCTGCTTAAAAAGGAGGTTTTTGGCCTACTATACTATGCTAGCCAGACGGGTTGGTAAAGGGTTTGATTCGAGTTTTCCTTCTCTTTGCAATCCTGTTGTCCTGCGTACTTTACTCCCGTAGTCGGCTCTTACGACACCCACGGGATGAATAGGGGTGGTGACACTCTGTATTCTTAATCCGTCACCATACGCATTGTGCTTGAGAAACTATACGACATAAGTTTTCATTATAGCAGTCTTCTTGTTTCGGTGGGAAGAAGAATCCTCGTACAAAGAAATTGATTTACTTTCTCGCATCCTCAGTGCTCAAAGGAAAATAAATACTATTGCTGTTTTTAAGGGAGAAAATGTAACTTAGATCATTATTAGTTGACGCACAGACAATATTATGTTTGATAAGTTAATAACTGCAAATATCTAAAGCCTAGTGAAATTTTATTGACCCTTGTTTTAAAGTTTCTATGTCCGAACCATATTTATTATAAAGAAGAAAATGTGTTCGAAATTTGTCAGCACTGTGGTAAATGCAAAATAATGTAAGGCTTTCATGATTGCAGGGAACTATCTATTACCATTTAAAAAGAGCTGCATTAATAATATCTACAATTCACAGTTTATTATTCTGCAAGTCACTGAGGTTAGGTGGAACTCCCTGGGAATTATTTCCTCGTATACTCTGATACTAACACATTTAAGGTTCAGAATTGAATGAATCATCATTACAACGACACACTGAAGTGCTCATTAAAAATTACTTTTTATCGATTTCAGGCCTGCGGAATACTTCTTGCATTGTGGGTATTGAAACACCTGAGGAGTAGCGTCCAGGTGTACAAGGCTATAGTTAAATACTAATGCTGCACAATTAAAGTAGAATTGAGTATTACATAATGCCTTTTAGTTGTTATTTTTCTTTGTACATTTAATTTGTTTTGAGTCAACTTCTAAGGGAAGTTCGGAAAGAGTCGTATTTTTTTGTGTTATTTAGGTGCGATATCTTTGTAGTATATGAAAAAGAAACTAAGTAAGTATTTTATTGGAACTGTTGTCGTCTCGAAAACGAAAACAATAATTTAAAACATTTACTTATAACGATAGTTAACATAAAAAGAAATGAATAGAAAATAAAGAATTAGTCTGTGCCCTGGAATTTGATTTTTTTATTTTTTTCGTGTTTTCGTGTTAAGACAAATTCCATGAGTTCCTATTTGAGGACTACAGATTTAACCGATTTAAAAAAGGGGCTATATATTCGACTGAATACTCTTTGTTTGTATTACGCAAGTTCTTTGCTATTTGTGATCAGATTTTTATATTTTTTAAAGCAAATGAAGAATTCAGCTAAATACAAATTATCTCGTTTAGGAGCTAATGTGATGATACTTTTTTTAAAGAGCTTTAATAAGGTAATTCGATAATGTATTTACTTCTATATTTACTCGTACATCTATCCGGGTTCTTTTTTCACAATAGAAACCCTATTCGTCAGTGTGGATACATCTTTACATAGTAGGTAAATTACTAATTTTCTTATAATATTTAAATTAAAAAAATCATATTTGACCTATACTTTAAGGATTTTTTTAAAGTCTCAAGAAAGATTGTCAAAATCCAACTGCATGAGCCCTTACTATGATAGTTGGGTCTACTTCGGCAACCCAGTTGATCTGTTGGGTAATAACCCTGACCTCTGAGTGAGAGGACACACCCCGGACAAAAATGTGTTGTGTGTTCATATTTAGTGTTCCGTACTTCAAAGGAAAAAAACGGAACCCTTATAGGATCACTTTCTTGTCCGTCTGTCTGTCAAGACCTTTTATCTTGAGAACTCGTGGAGGTTTCGAGTTGACATAAAACTACTCAGGTCTTCTTTACAGTCTCTTTAGGCTATGAAAAAACGTTTAAAGTAACGTATAAAAAAACCCAAAAAAAGTCGCATATTTTATAATCGCAAGGGAATCAAAATTTATAGGGTACTTACCGTTGACCTTACTTTTTTTTGTTGACGGGATGGTAAATCCCTACGGATCTCCTGCTCCTCGGGAACTTAGGAGCCAGGAATATGTAGGGATTCCACTAAATACCACACCGACGGCCGGCCTCAGGTGCCCTACTCTAGGAGGACCCGGATCATGTTATTTTAGGTCCTCCCCTAATTGACATCACGCCTGATCAGGCTCTACCCCAGGGGAAAACACTTCACCCCCTCAATTGCAACGTGGTGTCCCAATTGCGTCTTATTGCAATCAGGCCGCAATCCTAACCCCAACCGCATCAAACAATCTGATACCAGAGGTCCCCACTCTCTGGCAGCCTGCGGTCTTGTCGATATAATTCTGAATTCTAAAATGAGAAGATACATAGACCAACTAGGGCAGAAGGTGAGAAAATTCCCGACCGATTCCAAGGACCACGACAACGTGTACTGCGTAAACGTACTTGCTAAACTTAAGGTTATGGACTATGACCAAATTCAATCCCTTCTGAGCAACCAGTTTAAATAAGCGTGAAAGATAAACACCCACACTCACACAAACACACACGCACACACACACGCACATACACGCGCGCGCGCGCACTCGCACGCGCTGACATGTATACGTATGTCCACAAATACATTCCATTATCATAATTTATAATGTAAAACCATTGTAGCTCTAATTAAAGAAGGCACTAACTCCTAAGATACAGGTTAATCAACCTAGTTTATGAGACAGAGCATTTATCAAAATGTAACTTTGATGGTTTAATAAACTTGTTTGTTTGTTTGTTTTTGTTTGGATTGTAAATAAATGATGCATCAGCTCAACGTTAGCTAGCAAAAACCCTTACAACCACAAAACAACACATTTGCAGTCGATCGATAAGTCATGTCAATTAATAATTCCACAGTACTGTTATAATTGAACAAGCAATACAAGGTATTATGAGCTTTAAAATTTAGCATTACAATTCAAATTGAATACAACAGGTCACAAAGAATTAAAGAGCAAATGTTAGCAATGATTTGTCCATTGGAATAGAGTTCTTGAGACAAAGTGACACGATTCATATCGAAAGAAGTGGTAATGTTGTACGGAAACAAAGACTAGGGAAGAAGGCCCTTGACGTGTGGGTACGTGGACATATGGATTCCCACGCTCTAAATATTGCTGGCGATTCAAGAGCGGAGCGATAAGCGAGGCGGATGTCGTACATTATGTAAGTAGACGCTACCGTATTATTAACAACGTAATATGGTTTTTAACTGTTACTAGGACTCAATTTGCCATGAATTTTAAATGTATCCCTTGCCATATTATAAATACGAAGATTTCGAGTGCCTTCTGAAGAGAAACCCTAACTATAAACATCGTCATGATTTACGCTGTAGGATATAAGCTTTCGTCAGTGATTTCTAAGAGAATGGGTTCGTGGGTCTTCCGTCGACGTGATTTTATAAGGTCATCTGTCCTTTTTGTTGGACCTTCTGTGCTTTTCGGTTCATGCTCTCCACTCATCGGTCATAAGTTCTGTATATTTAGTTGTTTATCAAGCCCATATTAATCAAAAACCTGTAGAGTGTGTGAGAGGAAATTTTCACCGATTTTTATTCTGTGGATTTATTGTCGTTATATTCATAGCGTCTTAGATTTATCGCTACTCGCTCCGCTTGTCACAATGTTCACAGGTAATCAGGTACAGGTCGTCGAATGCATTGATCGATATTATAGCCCTAAAGCCTTCACTTCCGATGTCCACCTCATAGCAACCGGACATACACAATATTTATTCAAATAGGAGTTGAATAAATTGAAATATTTCAAAATGAAGTCAAGAAGTATTCGTTGTATGAAGTTCTTTCTGGTTCTGTTTAATACACTTTGTATTGTAAGTAATTGAAAGTTCAACAATTTTTATAATTTTCATATATTTATTGATCGTTCCGTAATTCTGATCTCTTTGTTTCTTGCAAATTGTAATTGTTTATTTTTTTTCTTCATTGACTTTGGAAGCTTCAATAAAAACTGTACAAAAGGCAGCTTTTGTATACTTAGATAGAGCCTAAGACGTTTATATAACTATCCGTTTATATAAAATACCTCTATTTGTTAAAAACAATACTAAATTCTTTATTTATGCTTTTTGTCAGTTTTATTTTATTTTTTCAGCTTTTGGGCTTGGTTCTAGTGGCCGCTTGCGCGATAAATCTTGACGAACAGAAATCAAAAATAGACCAGACGGCAACATCCCATGGAGTGATTTCTTTTCTATTGATCCTAGGAGTGTGTCTTATGGTGGCCGCTACAATTGGGTGTGTATGCGCTTTAAGAGAACACGTTAAGGTTTTGTATCTGGTGAGTGTTCAAACAATACTTATTGACGGAAATTATCTGCAAATTCTGTTATATATTTTGTCAACCAAATCAGGCGTTCTACCTTACCTTACCTTTTTCTTTCCGTACGTCTAAACACATGCTGTAAGCAAAACTTATTTATATATTTATATTATTATTGTTATATTATATTTTTTGAAGATTATTATTATATAAGTAAGTATTAATCGGAAATGTAAAATAACAAAATTAGTTACTTGTTTAACTTAAGTCTTTTGTAAGAAAAGAGCGTATTCCTTCCTAAAAGACCGGCAACGCGTTTGTGACTCCTGAGTTGCAGACGTTCATGACCGGCGATTGTCACTTGCCGTCGGGTGACCCGTCTGCTAGTCTGCCCCCTCAAACATAAAAAAAATAAAATGTAATCAAGACATACGTTACGTAAGACCTATGTACCAAAGTATTTCTGCAATTGAGATCAATGACGAAGCAGCGAAACTTGATTGAATTAGTAAATCATTTATTTATATTTCAGTATTCGAGTTGTTATATATTTCTGGTAGTGATAGAGTTGGTAGTGATAATAGGGGGGACAGTACTTAGCGCGTGGGCGAACAACGCCAGTGATCTGCGCATGCAGTTCTATCAGAATACCACTATCACGGAAAAAGAAGCTACTGACTATCAGAAATTTTGGAATGATTTGCAATCTGAGGTAAGTGATATTTATAGTTGTGAAATTTTATGAGATTGTGCAGTGTAGCAACATCTAGAACTCTTGCGTACACTGATCAATACATATACTGAGGTTCAAGAAGAAATAAATACCTTTCAAAACATTAATTGAACATAAAAAGAATATCCAATTACATAGGTACCTGCCATAGGTATCTAGTTCTCTGCAACCTTTATAAAAAAATCAGTTTCTTTAATAAGATTTTCTTTATAACCATTGTTTTAAAAAAAAATTACAGCTCTACCACCACAACCTAATAAGTCGTCGCATATGTTTTAGTCATCATTCGCGAACCCTGTAGACATTTTCGACAATCTTTGATTTTGGTTTACGGTACTTTATTTAGTTTTTTTTTGTTGTCGCGAAATTTAGGGTAGGCCTATGTCCAGCAATGAAAGTCTTTTGGCTGAGACGATAATGATGAACATGTAATTTTAAATACTTTATATCCAAAGACTACTTAACAAGTCTTACTCTACACCAACCGCAACTTTCCTTAATTTATAATCTATTGTAATTAAAATTGTCTTCGAACAGCACCAATGTTGTGGCGTTGATGGTCCCCAAGACTACGCCATCATAAATCAAGATATTCCCGCTTCCTGCTGCGCTCGCGCATATCCCCTCCGCGAAGGCAACGCCAGGCGTCATTTGCACTCCACCTGTCTAACCGAGCGCACGTATTACATGCGAGGCTGCGAAGAGGTCGTGCGACAAAAGGACGCCTTAAAATGTGATATTATTATTGCAGCTGGCATTGTGTTTACAATTGTAGAGGTAAGTGTGATCTGGCGCTAATCTACGATTATAATAAAGCTCAAAACTAAAATTTTAATTGATAAGTTAATTTTAAGGAACACCAGGTGTATTTGGCAACTCTTCTTATCTTTCACCTGACTTAAAAAATAAATTTCTAAATTCTAATGCATTTTTTAAAGTTTACTACCACAGATCTCCCATTATTTATGAACTGATTTTTTTTCTTGTTTGGCTATGCTTCCCGTTAGGTACAATAAAAATTTAAAGAAAAATTAAGAATCTTATAATATAGTTTATTTTAATTCACCTTGGCTTATTGTTTTGTATACAATTTCAGATACTGTGTGTGGTGATAGCCATATGGCTGGCCAGAACCATTCGTTCTGAACGTCGAAAGCTTCAGGCGAACTTGCAGGCGCATTTTGAATCATAATACGAAAGGAGAAGTACTATATTGCTAGAAACATTAATTGTTCCTGCTTGCAATGTATCTACGTAACGTTATAACCGTTACTGTTATTGTTTGGTGCACTTAATACAAAATTTTCGTACCTATTAGTATTTATAGAAACATTCACCGACTGTGCTTTTTCTCACAAATAAAGAATGCTTATGCCTTAGTGAGAGTAACTATAGTCCATTTGCGTTAAGAAAATAGTGACGTATCGACGATGCCCTGCCCCTAACCAATCAGGTTTGAGAAATTTTCGTTTTAAACTTGGACCTAGTCTTGATCAGGAACCTGAACTGATCGATCGATCCGAATGTCACGATTGCGTCACCTTCTTTTTAACGTGAATAGACTATAGGTTTCTTTCAAGACACGTTGTTCAGCCACTGAGTTGAGCTGAGCTATCGCACACTGTAATTTTTCTCATGCCGTTGGACATCTTTGTGTCATTAACTTAGTATACGACAGATTTGTATTTCTATGAAATTAGTTAATATGTTAAACTTAGGTATTCATAACAGAATTATATATTTAAATATAGGTAGGTTACTAGGTTCCTATACTAATAACATTAAACAGTAAAATACAGGGGTCTATTTTGTTTGACAAATGACTTTTTGACCATTAAGTAAATGTAAAGATATTTTCTTAGAAAAACAATGTGTCCTACATTTTTTTCCTGTTATCAGTAAAATACTAGGAAAAGCGAAAAGTAGTTGGCAATATAACTTTAAATGTCACATCATGAAAAATAACCTAAAAAACAATTGATAAACAGGCTGTCAGTATCTCGTTCGAGACGTTCTGAACGCATTTTATTTATTTCATAACGAAGTTCCTGACCTATAAAAACCAAGGATAATAAAATTGGACCAAAATATATTTTTTCCATTGACTTCTTCAGTGACATCACAAACGAAACAAGTTTTATAGTAGTTAGTGCCTACATAAGAGTTGAAATGAGTTCTAGTCGAAAAGTCAGTTGTCAAATATTATGACGCAGATTTAACAATCTTTTTATAGAATACTCGTAGAATAATGAAAATAATGACTGCACGGATGGCGTAGTGGTTTAAGCGGTCGCCACGCCGCTTCCTACTACGCGGAGTGTTTTAGGTTCAAACCCCACATGGGACGACACTGTGTGTGATCCACAAGTTGTTGTTCTGAGTCTGGGTGTTCTTTGTGTCCGTTTCATGTATGTTTGTAAAGTCCCCCGCGACATAGGATATAATCCTAATGCGGGAGTTGTCTTTAAAGAAAATAAAATTCTAGAAAAATAAATAGGCTCTCTCAGTACTCAATTTTATTTTAGTAGCGTGTTACTTTAATGTCATTCTCATATTCAGTTAGTTGCGATATAATATGTACATAGAATAAAAATACAGTCACTACCTTTGCACTTTCTGTATATAATTATATTTTAAAACATTATAGTGTATATAAAATAAGATAGATGATAGCTTAATAGGTTTAACTTTTAGAATATTATACGTTGTTACAGTAACAGAACCTATGTAGGCAAAACAGAAAGAATTCACAGTATTATCAGTTTGAGAAAAGGTTGTTTTTATTTACAAAAAAAATAATGCGATAAAGTTGTTTGATAATTTGGAAATAGTTGATTCAAAATTATATTTCCTAAAATTTCTTCTATGTATTCAAGCATAATATTATGAAACATTCTATAGATTTTTCTATTTTATTTAACAGAGACGAAACATTTCATTTGCGTCTCTGTTAAGATCAAAATGATCTTACCATTGTGACTAAATAAAATAGTAAAACCATGGTAACTGAAAAATCTATGTAATGTTTCGCATGAGTGCATTTTGAAAGCTATTCTGTGTACTTAATGTGGTTGCATCCTGTTTACATAATTGGGTCCAGTTACTGCAGTCATTCACGGTACACTGTTACTAAGTATTAATAAAAATAAGATCACAATCGTCGATACATCATCATTTATCATGATTTATAGAACATGATTCAAAATTCCAAAATGGCCCAGTTTTGAAATGAAATTCCCTAACGTCTAGAATCCCCAACCAATTGAAGATTAGAATTTCTTATTAACTACTCGTCAACACGCAAAAGGTGGAAAGTTTTCCATCATACTTGGATTCAGTGAAGTTCTATCAGTGCGGAAAGGCGTAGGAAAGGGAAGAGCTATCCAATGGCATCGCATTTTTCAATGACACTGAGTACGCCTTAAGGTCTGGCCAACTCAGTGTCAGTTATAAACTTATAACCCGTGAGATTTGTTGAGACTTTGAAGAAATTGTTCGACATTCTGTTCAAAAAATTATTACAAAAACCAGTTTCTTCATGTGAATTTTTTCTTTGTTTTTTTTTTTTAATTTCATTGGAACTGTTATTTCACTGTCCTACAAAGTAAACCTTACGTTATGTTAGAACTTCATTAACGATGATGTATTATTAAATTCATTTTAAAATAACGAATGGTTCACACTTTATATCCATAATATTAAAATAATACTGTATGGTTTCAGTCAATATAGCTGTAAACTGTGATAATAATAGTAGTTTTACATACATCAGCTGTGGCATTCAATAAGCCGTATGGGACCACTGAACCCTTGATGTAGCTTTTATTATAATTCATTACTCTCACAGAACTTGAACTAACACGACATAGAATTATTTTAAGTAAGAAGGTAGTTTGAAAAATCTTAGCTATAATTAACAAGAAAGTTTTCCCTAAACTGTTTGAAATATTTATAACTTTGGGCTACTACTCTACTCTACTAAGGAAAATGTGCTTTAAGAAGTAGATTTCAATCACCACATGTTTGTGCTTTTGATTAATATTTTAATAACCACCCGTACAGTTAGAATAATTTTTAATACTAAAATCTAAAATGTATAATATAAATATTACTGATTTAGCATGAACACAGGGTAACAAATGCGTTTTCTCATCTCATGTTTCTAGAATTTAAAACACTTCATTTAATTTTAAAATACTTTTTATTGATATTACATCATTAGCAAAGAATTATAATTTAATGATAGATATATATAGAACTATATTATATATATATAGAATAGATAGTAGGCCAAAACATCCTTTCTAAGGAGAGGCATATGTCCAGCAGTGGACTATTAAAAGCTGTTGATGATGATGACAGTTTTAACGAGGTTAATAAATGTTTACGCTGTCATAATTATTTATAGATTAGATATATTAATCGTTTAATTTATTTAAAAAGGTATTACGTTGTGTTTTATGGTAGAACACCAATTATTATATAAGTATTCAGTATTCATGTTAGATTATATTAAATGGTAAAATAATGTGATATTGTATGCCTTTTCATTGTCACCGTAGACACTGAGTAATTAAATTCATTTAAATGTATCCAGCTGTTTGCCTGTCACTCGAGAATTAATTAGAATAAAAATGTATTAAAATAATTAATAAAATAAAATTTTAATTTAATAATAATAATAAACTGTGACATTACAATTCTATTATTAGGTAATGAAATTAATAATTATAGTAACTCAACGAACGTATATTAATATTTTTTGTCCTTAAACATATACATTATTATCAAATAAGGTGTCGAGTTATTTCTGGTATTTATCACATATCTTGCAAATTCATCTTACACTTTTAGAATGCTTTACTAACTTCTCTTAATTACATTTTTTGAAACACTAGACCGTAAAGGGAAATAATTTCCTTTAAAATAAATTCTAAGCAACTTCTATTTAACTAATATTAATAGATATTTATGTAGGTATGTAATTATCACAAGATCTGTGCACGCTCTAGTTTTATAATATGTTATGTATGTTGTGGGTGCTGATATTATTACAGCTTTTTAGAGACATATTTGAAAGATTAATGTTCAAAAATCATGAAATTGTAATGAGAATTTGTCACTTTACTGTTAAATAAATGGTTTTTGCTTAAATTTTGATTCATTTAAAATTGTCTTAATTCTGGAGTCATTCGCGTTTCATCTGAGTTGATGAAAGTTACTTAACTAAGGCAATCATGATGACGAGAGGGTATTCCTTCTTGTTCTTTCAGTGTTAAGGCGTGATAACTCGCCTCGTTGCTGGAAAAAAGAGCCAAGGATTTTTTGGGAAATGTTCCCACCTCTAGCCTGTGTTTCACATCAACGGCCTTTAATAGTCCACTGCTGGACATAGGCCTCTCCTTAGAAAGGAGGTTTTGGCCTACTATGCCACGCTGGCCAGACGGGTTGGTATAGGATTTGTGTCAAGTTTTCCTTCTCTCTGCAATGCTGGTGTTCTGCATAGTTTTTTCCCTTAGTCGGCTCTTACGACACTCACGGGATGAATGGGGGTGGTGACACTCTGTATTCTTAATCCGTCACCACACGGAATACGGAATACGGCACGGAAGCCTGTGTTTAACGTTTTAAAAATAGAATGTTTCTAAATGTTGTCCACTTGATCTCAAACGTCTAGAAAACCGTAGTACATACAGAATGATTCGTTTACAAAATATCTTTTTAAAGGCTCAGTGTTGGGTTTTAACGAATCTATTCGCATGAATTGTGCGCAACTGCATCCTTCTCTTCTTGTGCCTCTGTTGGCACCAACGCCAATAGCCTTAAACACTACAACTTATTTTTTATATATGTTACATATTGCCTTCTGGGTCAAAACTAAGCAAAGCCTGTAGTATGATGACATATTCATGAATATAAATATTTGCAATGAACGAGAATCGATCAGTTCTAGTAGATTTTGTCAGTCAATTCACTAGCCCTAGGAAAGAGTACTTTTTAATGAAAGACATCTTATTAAATCCTCTATACTTCTTACAACCTTTTTTTTTCCCTGTGCGGAAATCCCCTCGGATATCACCCACCGGGGTGATTATGTCGGACTCGAACCGACCAAAAACCGCACGCCGTTTGGGTACCAGTAGCCGGGGAACCAGGTGTACTCTAGAAAGGAAATAACTGGTACCCCGACGTACCTCGGGCTATCCACGGCGTATAGATGGCCCCCTCCTGTGTGACTTTTGCAACCTATTGGTAAATTTTTTAAATAGTTAGAGTTAAAGATGGTAAGACGTGGTGGAGAAACAAACAAGTACATATTCACTATTATACTGTTAGTTATGATTTCAGGCATTTATTTGTATGTATACTTACGCTTTATTCCCGTCCGAGGTAGGCAGAGACGATTAGACGTTGAAGTCATTTGCCACGATCATAATAAATAGTTCGCGCCTTTAACGCATTCGCCAAGCTTTTTATTATACATGCTCGCCGGATCTTCTACAGACTTTCACATAGTAAAAACTACATCCAAGGAAACATACCAAAATAAAACATCCAATTTTTTTGGAACACTGATATTTTATTTTAAGAAAATCTATTTCAACATTTATTTTAACACTAATAACCTCCTCAATGATTAATAACATAAGTATTATTTTGAATCTAGCTCTTGAACTAACCCTAGATACACATTTTGTGTTTATTATTTATTTTAAACCAAATATACATTTAAATTCAACTGTTTTTCTTTACTCTAAGATTTAATTCAAACACTGGTTTAGTTGTGTTCTAGGATGAAAACTTATCATCTAAATTTTACCAAGAATTTGTCATGAAATTAGCGTATGGTGGGTAAATATACTTTTTTTTAAATTACAATATACATATGTTAATAAATTAATGACTAGTTAAACGATTTCAGTACGTCGACCGAAGATTAAAGTAAATTATATTAACGAAAATACTAATTCACACTTAACTCTATTGGAATAAGTGGGTGATGCCCTATCTTCCTAAAGTTCCAAGCTCCCAAAGCTTATATTATTAAATAACATTGTACGATTGTCTTGACCAAAATCTACAGTCGCCGAGCCAATGCTTACGTACACTTTAGTATTAACAAATAACACTAATCAACAGGTACTCTAAAGAGTATCAATGGGGTAATTTACGATTATTTATTTTTATGGTATAAGGGGGCAAACGAGCAGACGGATCACCTGATGGTAAGCCCTCCCGCTCGAGTCAGCGGGAGGGAGGATTTGGGCTCCGGTAACCTCACTCGCTCAGTGAAAAGCAACGAAAGAATTGCTTAACATCGGTTTTCTGTGAGGCCGTTGTACCACTCCGGTCGAGCCGGCCCATTCGTGCAGAAGCATGGCTCTCCCACGGTAGAATAGGGTAATAGTAGAATTACCCCACGGTAAATAGTAGAATTCATTATGGCAATACTGTTGAGTGAAGTTTATTCTGGGGAATAATGTATGTAATACATTCACTGGATACTGAACAAACTGGATACATTCCTAACTCAAACATTAATCTCAAAACACATAGAACAAATTACACATAGAGAAAATATAAATTCCAAAATAACATTAATTATAACTAGGTACTGATTTTATTTTATTCCTTTTTGCATTTTGGGGACGTTGGGAATGAATGTATGAAATATAATTTAGGGAAACTTGAAACTCAGGGAGATAGAGCAACTCCCGAATTTTTCTCCTAGTGACTGTTTTTTAGATTTACAGTATCTAGTAAATTTTAAGTCATAAAAGAGGTCTCAAGTTGGGCCAATTGGCCTAGTTTTTTAACCCCCGACATAAAAACGACGGGATGTTATAAGTTTAACGTTTCTGTGTGTTTCTGTCTGTGGCATCGTAACTCCCGAATGGATGAATCAATTTTGTGTTTTTTTTTTGAAAGATGAATTAGTTGGGAGTGCTCTTAGCTATGTTTGCCGAAAATCAGTCCAAGATGGCCGCCGTCACAAAATGGCGGATTACATATTTTTTCACACCTCCCTCAATATAGGTATCAAATGGCTTGACTAGTAGTATATTATACAGTATAAAAAAATACAAATCCAAGATGTGTGTCGGAGGTTTTTTTTTTTCGGACGGACGGACGGATTCACAATACGGATTGTCACCATCCCTATTCATCTCGTGGTGTCGTAAGAGTCGATTGAGGAAGCAAACTACAGAGGACAACTGCACTGCAAAGAAAAGGAAAACTTGACCAAACCGTCTGGCCAATGTTGTATAGTAGGCCAAAACCTCCTTTCTAAGGACAGACCTTTGTCCAGCAGTGGATTATTAAAGGCTGTTGATGTGATGTTTGTGAGCTCAGACGGCTTAAGAGTTATCAAATTCACTGTTAGTAACATCACTGTATTAGAAACTTAGAAATATCACTGTATAAAATAATCAGGTAGCATTTTTTTATAACCATAGCAATCAAAATACCTCATTACATACAAATTACATACTAAACTGTGGTGTTTGATGGTTTTTGAAAAGGGGTTATTCGATTAATAAAATAGGTTATCCGAGTATTGATATTACATTATTCGATTATTGAAGACAGGCTATGCAATTATTAAGAGTGGTTCTATAAAGTACTCTAATTGTATTAAATTAAAGTTTATTTGCATTGTCATGGTTGGTGAGTAATTTATGGTAAATTAATTAATACGTTTATGTTACGACATACATAACATTTTTTAGGTATTCTAAATTAAATACTTTGGTTTCGAAATATGTAATAAATATGTTTACATATTGGAATTTTAAATATTGCTTTATTTGAGATTATATTTTATTATTTATTTTACTTCAATATTTGTTACAAACTGTCTCACCTGATATACATCAATTGACAATAATATATTGTCGAATAAATAAATTTATTTAATAAAAATTGAATACAATACAAATATTAAATAAATAAATAATACAAATATCGCCTACAAATAACAGTTTGTGTCTGTGTTCTTTATATAGCTTTAATTATTTATCACGATTGAATTATGTGGAACGCCTGATGGTAAGTGGTAACCAGCGTTCATGGACATGAGCAATAAAAAATACTACTATGTCACTACCTGACTGAAAACTACGAAACTGCAATGTTAAAAGACTAAAAGCCATGTCACTATCTTCGAAGTTCTGGTAACTTTATGTATACATACAAACACTCAAGCCTTAATCCCGAAAGGGGATAGACAGAGTCGTTTTAAATATAATATAAAATATATTTAAAAATTAAACCACAATTGATCTCTATTCTACCGCCACAACTGAAAATCTAATCGAACATCAATTCTTTTACATTTCCAAAGAATTGAATTTACCGACTACCCACATTATTTGAAGAATCGACATTCTATTTACAAAAACTACTTCCACATACTCTATACTTAAATAAATAAAGATAACTTACAGTAACTTAAAGTTAAGTGCGTGGATATGGTTATTCTGTTGCTTGAGATTATTCATGGTGAAAATTAAGCAGTTTCTCGGCTCTTCCCTTGTGTTTTTATGGCGTGGGCCAACCATAGCGCTAGGACTATGCCGAAGGCCTGAAAAATAAATAAGTTTAGTTATATTCAGTTCAACAAACATAAAATTTAAGATACTGCGAAAATTATAGCAAACACATCGTAATCTAGTACATCTGCCCTAGGTGGTTTCCTAGGTTACATATAGTAACCACGTTACTGAACGGCGTGTGGTTCTAGTCGATTTGATTCCAACAACACATTGAGTGCCGCCGAAGCGATAAAGGGATATCGAATAATCAATCCTTTTTATTTATTTTTGGGTCCAGTTTTATTTAATTACTTTTTACATGAATTTTGAACTAAGAAATATCAATAACGCATCGCAGTTGGCATGTGATCATGTGATGACCATGTCATAACCTCTGCAAAAGTAATACCAGCACAGGTGCCTATGAAAAACAACGTGGCAAATATTTTATTACTTGTGTAAAGTGTGCTATTTTCAGAAGGCTTTCTAAACGTAACAAGAAGCACCTGAGTAGAAAAGCAAACTTGTAACGAAAACCATATCTCAACCGAAAGCCATATCAAATCTTTACAATAGCCGGCAAGGAGGCCATCTTGATTGTAGCCTATGGTCAAGCAAGGCTTAAAACACGACCTGGGCTAGGTCAGATCTAAGATTGTTGGGTTATTAAGCGATGGCGTGACCATCGTGACGTCAGACAGGAATTGCGCTACTAAGGTTAGTAAAATCACTTGCGAGTAGAAGTCGAGAAACTAATTACATCGAATCAAATTTAGTGAAAGACTGACGGTATTAAGATGGTGCTTCAACTGGTAGTATCGTAAGTAGGGTAAAGGTTTTTGTAAATACACTAGTATTTGCAAACTTTTTTTTTACGCGTGAAATGTAGTAGATACAGTAATATTATAAAATGTAGAGTGAAGATACAGTAATATTAATCGCCTAACCTGATGATATGCATTAAGTGATGCCTCAGTTACAAAAACAATTGGAACTGAAACGTGTTTACATTTGCAAATCAAAACAAAAACACGCAATATTTGTTAAATAAGTATAAAAGCTTAGACTCACATTACAAAACAAAAGGTTACGTTTTGCAATCTGAGAGCGTAGATACACCTGTGTTTAAGGTATTTAGCTATAGTTATGAGTTTTTACTAAATATGATCGAAATGTTTAGCTGCACATAATGTCAATAAAAAGAGAAGATGAAATAAAACTATTTAGATAATAGTAACTCTAACATTTTATAATGTTAATATTTATTTTAAAACAATTTGAAAATCATAAACTAAATTAAAAAAAAATAGTAATGAATGTACACTACATGTAAGTGAATTTGTTGTATGATAAGACGCGATTGTACGTAATATACAATTTATTAAATAAAGAATAATGATAATACCCATATTAAAAAAACATATCAGCCCTTGACATAATGCTTAAAATATATCAAAGCAATGATTTTATTGCAATTAAATGTGCAAAAATTTTCAGTAGAAATTGCCATCAAGCAACTTTCAAGTTTTCTTTATTCACATTTATCATATGATAAATTAGCCATAACGGAATGAAATTTAATGGAGGAAATGAATAAAAAACCACTTGAAAGAGGCCACTGAAACAAAAAAAAACATCAGGAAGTAAGTAAAGAAAAAGTGCCGTGAACGTTTTGAAATGATAACCTAGTGAGATTTGAGTGATAACCTCGTGACTTAGTCTACAATTAGTTTTTAGTCGCTTACTAATAGTGGTGAGACATGCACACTAAAAACGGAAGTTTTATTGTATGTATTTTTTTTTTTCATTTTGTGACAGGTTACGCATAAATTATGGCGGTACGAAGAACTAGATGTAAAGCTGAGTTTGTACTGTAATTACCTTCAGAGATTTATAGCGAATTTAATTATAATTATCTTTTTGTTCTGTATTTTTTCTCGTTAACCCAATTACTACTACTGACCCCATATAGCCTCTAACTGTACTAAAATCATAATTACTTAGTAGTAGTACTTTTATATTGCAATTTGTACACGCTTGTGTCTTGATCTCTTTCAGGTAGCTTAGAATTGTCTGAGTTGGGCAGTTAGGCATTAACTGTCTAAATAATATAAAAAATCAAAAATCAACCATTTAGAACTATTCAAAAAATTCTACTCTGTCTCTTCTGAGTTAGTAAAAAACGTTACGTTATTTTGGTTGCTAACTCCTAAAGTTTGTTCTTACAACCTTTTAAAAACGATTGCTCCAATCTTTCATTTCGTTTATGTATCGTTTAATTAATATGTATAATATGTATGTAATTACAAAAAAAAAAGGATATATGTCTTTATATCAGTTGTCTAGTACCCATAGTACAAGCTATGCTTAGTTTGGGACTAGATGGCGTTGTGTGTATGTGGTAGAATATTATAAAAAAAAAAAAAAAAAAAAAATATAAGTAAGATAAATAAGACCGACTATCTAAACATAAAATTCTTACCTCCAGAAAACAGAACAATATCCCGCAGACGATGACAGTCAAACCAGCGCTGTGAACAGTTCCCAGTACCTTGTTTTCACATCCTTCTTTGTAATACTTCTCGGAAGACAGGCAATCAGAACGCTTAATCTCATCACTTCGGTCAGTTCCGTCGTCAGGGCAGCAGCTGAAAGATGGGTTGATGCGGGGCTCTGAAGCAGCGTAGTTGTCAGGTCCAGTAATGCCGCAACATTCCAGCTGGAATGTTAAAATGTTGGTACCATGTTAAAGCAAACTCTTCTTAAATTACAACACAGTCAACATTTATGGGAGAACATGGTACCAGTACAGATGGCGTAGGTGTTTAAGCGGTCGCCACGCCGCATAATACTTCTCTAAGTGCTGTGGGTCCGATCCCCACATGGGACTACACTTTGTGTGATCCACAAATTGTCGTTCTGAGTCTGGGTGTTCTTTGTGTCCGTTTCGTATATGTTTGTCAAATCCCCCGCGACACAGGATATACTTTTCCTAATGCGGGAGTTGTCTTTCTAAAAATTAATTAAATTAATATCTTAGAGGTTGAGACTTAAGTAAAATCACCATATTTAAAGCTCACTCTACTATTAGTGGAGTGTTGAAAAATAAAGGGATTTAAAACAATACTAAAATGCATTCTGGCGACTGTCTTCACAGCTTCTTCCGACGTTCATTCACAGAGCTATAGCGAATTATACAGAACTAAATTATTAATTATGATAGAGAAGACTGTTATGATTTTTTTTATAATTATTAAAAAAAAATAGTATCTATTATCACGTGACTGAAAGCATAAAGTAGGTTAATTACGTCACTAACCTATAAACAAGCTGACAGCTGTCAGTTGGTATCCATAATGTTTACAACATTATATTACTCTATGGAATCTCATCAGTTTGTCGGTAAAACGAAATAAAACTTACATTGTAAATATTAGCGTTTTAGCGTGTATTTTGATAAGAAACTTTATTTACATTTTTTTTCTTTTCCAAATATTTATCAACTTTTCAGTTCCACTGTATATCTGTTTAATCTTTTTACTAGAACTAGGTTTTATAACCATAAAAAATATTAAAATAGGTTTAACCACATGAACCAGATCTTGGATAAGGTATTAATTAAGTAAGCAACGCACAATATTAGCTTGTAAACGGTTATTGTGCGAACATAACAGCTGACATTTAATGCTGGAAGGTGATATAACAAGACGGTAGTTGAGTGCTATGGCGTGTTCTACATACATTGGATTGGATCCTGTCCCAAAATTCCTTGTAGGTGTCATCTTCATCCTTGGTGGACTTGTTCTTGATAAAAGAGGAGCGCAGCTGTGTCTTCAGTGTGCCTTCGATCTGCGGGCGTAATGCAGCTGCCGCAATGCCCACGGACAGTTCGAGGAGGATGATTACGATTAGGAAGCCGGCGAACTGCAAAGAAAGATGATGATTTCAAAGATGAAATGATGAGCCTGCTGGTCTAGTGGTTAGTAATCCTGCCTTCTAAGCCGGAGGTCGTGGGTTCGATTCCACCAAGAACAAATATTGCGTGATGAGCACAAATTATTGTTCTGTGTCTGGGTGTAATTTATTCTTAAAATGTATGTATTTATAAATATATAAGTATGTTTATCAGCAGATTGGTTACCATAGTACAGACTGTCTAGTTTAGAACCAGACTGACATATAGTATACCATAGTCAATCAATTTTACCTTTATTTTCATAAATAGTTAATATTGATTGGCTTTCGTACTAGTAAGTACTAAATTTTACAACAAACTTGTAGCCTCATTTTCTCTCAAAAATAATGCTTACTGATCTGAATAAAATATATGGCGTCTGTCTCAAATAACAATGGGGCATTTACCAGCAGTTGACCTGGTTGCACCACAGCCGGCGTGGCCTGTCCTAATGTGTGTCGCTCAATATTGAAATATAGGTGAAATCTACGAGTGGGAAGCGAACTTTGAACTTGGGTTAGGCTTGTTGAAGTATCAGAAGGCAATTCATTAATGATTACGACGATTCTGAATCAAAATTATTGGAATAAAAGCTTTCGACTAGTTACCACATGCTTTTTCATTCCCTTTAAATGAGAATGCCGAGGGTGCCTATTTTCGGGCTTTTTTTTATCAAAAAGTGAAGCGTAATTCAGTAATGCCCGAAACAATGTCAGATTGACAAACATCAACCAACTGATGGTTGCAATGATTTTAGAATGGTTAAAATCTCCATTTCTAATTCATTTTTAATTACTCATTTTTCCCTCGGACACGTGAATCCGGTTGTTATATTAACATTTTATCTTATTCTTTTCTATTAATTAAGAATTTTAAAGTTCAGTTTCTTAATTTAGAGTTCTGTATGGAATATCACGAAAGTACTCAAATTTACCCGTACCATTTAGTGCAGAATGACAAAGTCCTCCTGTTATGGCTGGACGCTAGCCTGATCATAGCATTGAGTAATGAGAATTAAAGTAACGTTTGAGTACTTACAATATAAAGCAGCTTAGGGCTCTCCTTCCAAGCTCCGAAGCATCCAAATGCCGCCACCACGATGATGAACACACCAATGGCGATCAGCACAATATCCGTCTCGTGGCCAGTCGGCTCCATGCCCGCGAACCCCTTGATCATTCCCATGTCCACGCATGCTGCTGCTATGATAACTATGCCGCAGATCTGAGGAAGAATGAAACAAGTTATGGTATAAACCAGACAGTTTTTGAACAAATGTAATGATTTTTCTTTTCGCTTAGTCAAGAGTATACTAAGTAAACATGGACTAGCTGGTACAAATGTGTATAATACTGTAGCCATTTTGGAATATCGTAGCCAATAACTTAAACGACATGCATGCAATTTCATTTCTAACTATACGTATTCATACTCTTATCGATCTCCCCTTATCATTATCGAAATGTACGATGGTAGTCGATTAAGAAAGAAGTCAAATCATTTTACAGAAATAGATTTTCGTGATATCGCCTAAAGCTAAAAGGTAATCTACCGCTTGTGAGATTCAGGTACTTGATAATACTTAGTCTAACACTATTAATACACTTCAATAACTACAATAATCAATTAATACACTACAATAATATAGTTAATAAATACACTTGTGCTTAGAGGATTCTAGCTTTGAATAAATGTGTATCGAATCTATCCAAAGACTAAGATGAATTTTTATTATAAATAGTCCATTTTTTAATCTCTCAATTATTAATAATAACATAATTTGATTAATTTCAAACCTATTTTCATAACGGTAGTGATAACATATTCAAATTATTATGACTATGACAAATGAAGTTACTAAACATACATCTTAGAAGTAATATACGTAATAATTTTATTAGTTTCTATACGTTACAATGACAGTAGTACTAAGGTCTTTAGTTTTTTTTAAATGTTAATATAATATACAACAAAAAATTAAGTTATTTTTACTTGACTGCTGAAGAAGTGAATTTTTATTTGTCCTTTAGAAAGTTTAAGTAAAACGGATTGTTGTATTAGCATTCAAACAAATAAGCAAATGATTAAAGAAATAGAAAGTAAGATGACGCCTACGCATATCAAATTCAAATAAACCTTAATTGTAAAATCACTATTGCCGGTTATTCTTCGTTACACCTACATTAAGACGTGGGTTGGTGATAATTAGTACTAAAAGACGTTTATTGAATGACGCCTACTCCACAGCATCTTCACCAATCTATTGCATCAATCATGTGGAGCTTGTACTACTAATTATTATGAACTCGTGTTGTAGTCAACTACTTTTAGATAAAATCGAATAAGTATATCTTAGACGAGTTGATTATGGAAATAAGAAACAAAAAAGCTGACTGTGTGAAAATGTACCTTAACATCAAATTTACGAACTGGTACTAACTTTTAAACTTTCGCGTTCCATGATAATTAATATTATTTTAACGGGAATTAACGCGATCTCTTATTTAGGGTATTACATACCTCTGGTTTGCTTGACGTTTCGACCAGGTTGCACCGGCCGTGGTCACAGGCTGAGGTCACACACACAGGGTAAAATAATATTAATTACGAACTGGTGTTTTTAATTTTTATAATTTTTCTAGCTGAAGGTCACTCTTGCCATCTAGGGTATGCCGTTTCGGAGAACTTCGATAACAAACACTGTGACACGAGATTTTAGTATATTAGATATACTCAGTTTCGCTCTTATAACTAATATAGTTTACCGACACTTAAAGTCCATCATGCGGTTTAGATTACAGAGCTTGCCAAAGGAATAAACTCCTCCTGGCGCAGTCGGATAAAACAGATCTATTTCTGGTGTGCAGAAATGTTTTTAACATACTGCACGATACTCTTTAGACATAAATGAAGAAAACCTTGTACTACTTCTTTTTTTTTTCTTTTTGGTAAATAAAAGACAACTCCTGCACTAGGAATAAATCGTATAAAACTTTACAAACGTACATAAAACGAACACAAAGAACGCTCAGACTCAAAACAACAATTTGTGGATCACACAAAGTGTTGTCCCATGTGGGATGGGGATCGAATCTACAACAATCAGCGCAGTAGGAAGCGGTGAGGGACCGCTTAAACCACTACGCCATACAGTCATAACTCTATACATACTAACTCTAGAAAACGGATCAACATATTATAGTCACACCAAGACTAATTGTTACTACGTGTATGTTCCATCTTAGAAAACGAATAATCGAACATTTCTGCTCTTCTCTCTAAACTCTGTCTCACACACTCCATCAATTGTGGCAACAAAAGAACTCTATATCCACTGCTATTTCTAGTTTCTTATGTTTTTAACATGGTTTGACGTTTTAACGATGTTTTTTTAACAAGTCTATTATCTACACTATATTTTTGTAATCTTCTACTAATACATGATGGTAGTAAATGATAGGAGATATTACTTATCTATAGTCTTCCTTTCATTTTTTTCTTTTTTTTTATTTAAAATGACAACGCCTGCATTAGGAATATATCATGTGTCGCGGGGGACTTAACAAACATACATGAAACGGACACAAAGAACACCCAGACTCAGAACAACAATTTGTGGGTCACACAAAGTGTCGTCCCATGTGGGGTTTGAACCCACAACATGCAGCGTAGTAGGAAGCGGCGTGGCGACCGCTTAAACCACTACGCCATCCGTGCAGTCAAAAGTCTTTTCTGTCATTCATCATGCTCCAGCTGTCATATCCTGCCTCTACGTGTTATGTGTGATAAATAGTAAACATTATCGACTTAGCAATGAGATTATTATTAAAAAACCTGTCCAGGTTTTGCACTTGTAATTTGAGTATGATAAACTATGTTTTTTTTACGGTTTCATACAAGTCGTTCTGTGACCTCGCCACTAAATTACGTCATGTACATAAAAACGTGAAGATTGATATACAAACCATATAAATAGGTCAGGTTGCCCTAGAAATTTATTTGTATAAAGCCGAGGAATTATGTTAACTGTACTAAAATAGTTATAATCTATGCGGGAGAGGTGACATGATAGATTTATTTTTGCATTACCGATTTATGTCCTGTCAAACTAAGGTGCCGTGTGGTAAGGGATTAAGAATACAGAGTGTCACCACTCTTAATTATCCCGGTGGGTGTCATGACAACAGTACTGGAAAGAGAAGGAAAGCTTGACACAAACCCTATACCAGTCCGTCTGGACAGCGTGGTAAAGTTGGCCAAAACCTCTGTACTAAGGAGAGGCCTATGTGCAGCAGTGGACTGATGAAGGGCTGATGATGAACCGATTTATTACTGGTAGATCATTATTTTTTTGGCATTAAGTTCACCTATGTAAATTGTACTGATAGAAGATAACAAAAAGCTGAGCTTTATGGCAGCCGAACCCATTTATTGTATTCGTAGTAAAAACAAAGATACAAAAAAGATATCTAAATTGGTTAATAAAATGAATTAACATAAGCGAAATCCCTGATAAACATTACCCGAAATTAGTTCAAACTACGTTTTTTGCTCGATATTGGTTATAATTTCAAGATAGCTAATAATATAAATTGCTTGTTAGAAAATTAATAGGTCTCTAAGCATTAAATTACCGATGATACTGACAAATGCTCGTAATAGGTTTAAAGAGAATAACGCAAAATGGTAAAATAAGCTTTATTGTAATCGTTTCGTTAGCCAATAAAACATAAAATAAAAAAAAGAATTTGTAATCCTCTGTTCGGCAATTCTTAATAATATCCAGCTATTATCCAAAACGGCAAACGTAGTTCAGGACGCCCACAGGCCAGGCTAAGATGACTGGCAGGATGCGAGACGTCGAAAACCGATCAAAGTGGCGTGCAATAGGAGAGGCCTATGTCCAGCGGTAGACTGCGATAGGCTGATGATGATTATCCAAAATAATTGGCCACCAGCTATAAGAAAAATTGAAAACTAGTGGTGCATTGAAGTGTCTTAAATACTAACGCAGACTGGTCACCGTCGTGCGTTGCCCATCCCCAACTAAGGGATCCTAACTCTTTGAACAGGTGTTAAGCAATTCTTTCATTGCTGTACACCGTGTGAAAGATGTTACCGGAGACCCAAAAATTAAGGAAGGGGAGTTTCCCTGTTTTTTACGGGTGCTTCCCGGGAGATTGAATAAAATACTTTTAGCGTCATTAAAACCCATAGTTTGCAACGTGCATAGGTTAACTTTAAATTCATATGGTAATCACGACTGTTTTTACAACATAACCTTGTGTAGTTTTATAACTAAATCGCTTAGCACTTCCTGTCTATTTGTGTGTATGTGTACCCGTTTAGCACAAATGTGTGAACTCGCTTCATGCATTACTTCATATAAACAGGACGGGCGTGTTGGTCTAGTGGTTAGTGACTCTGACTGCTAAGCCGGAGGTCTTGGGTTCGATTCTCACCCAAGACAAATTTTGTATAATGAGCACGATAATTTGTTCTGTTTTTATGTGTTTTTTTTATAATATATGAAATTTTCAGTATGTTTATCAGCTCCGCCTAATTTGGAATGGCTGTGTGTGAGAAGTATTTACACATTATTATTATTATAATACTATTATTGACTACCGAGATCAGTACACATCTTGACTCGACTTACAATGCACAACACGGATCGGTTAGTGGCTTCAGCGGTAACCTAGCTAAATCCTACTGCGTGTTGTGGATTCGATCCCTACCTTGGACAGCAGTTTATTTAATTCACTTATTGTTATTCTGAGTTTGGATGTTCTTTGTGTCCGTTTCACGTATGCTCGCATATGATAGGAATATATCCTAGTGCGAGAGATCACATTTTAAAAACAAAAGAAAATACGAAGCGGCCCCAAGTTATATGCTTTAACTTTAGCTAGTATATCTAGCTAAACCATATGTAAGGTATAAATAAGTAGGTACGGTGCAGTTGACGTCACATTGCGATTGTAAAGTCAAGGCGTGATTATGCCATGGCTATGGTTATTTTGTTCAATGTCAGTGTGTATAACTACAATACTGAGGTATAATGTTTAATTTTATTATGTTTTTTACCTACAAACAGTGTTATATTATGAGAAGACAGGTACCTTCGATAAAAATGTGGAACAATGGGCGTTATGGCAGAATTATCCTTTGGCCAGAAGGTCAATTCTCGTAATGAAAATTCTTCCAAAAATTAGTTCCCATCTACTGTCGATCCCACAAAGGGGAATGCCCATTTTCGGCCATGAAACGCCCAACAATTTGCTTTTGTTAGAAAAAACTATCTTATTTTCTGTTTATTAATTGGGGTATTCATTTATCCTGACAGGTCTGCAACATTTAAACAGAAAATAAAAGTACCGAAAAGATAAAAGTGAAATTACGTTAATCCGGATTTCATTGGTTTCTGGCAAAATATTAAGTGTTCCCAATTACTAATTTTACTATTTTTTGGACTGACATTATTATTTATTTTAATATTACTTGAAACTAATTGCACAAAACATCTTATAAATTCTACTTTTAAATCAAACAAAATAAATAAGCAATATGGCGGTTTGTGTCAGCGCTACTGAAGTTAGCAAACGTGTCCTGGCCGAAAACTGTGTCAGCGCTAGTAAGCGCTCATAAGCGCTTCCTAGCGCTATTTTCTGCCAAACACAGCCATTATTTTATAGCTATATAATTCGATTTTCGGTAATTTTTATGATTTCATTATGTTAGTGCTAATATTATTTATTTATTTATTTTAATAGAGCTAGGGCAGACTTAAGAAATATAAACGTAGGCTCCGAAAATGTTAGGGGATTTCCTATTTTAACTTCCAGCGACTTAGTACTAATTGCTTGTGGTACATACCAATTAAAGCAAGCTCGCTCCTATTATGGTGAGCATATAAGAGCTAATGGTTGCTACCACATAGAAATATGCAATGACCATAGGAGCAGCATTATGGAAGGAATACACCTTAGTCCTAACTGCTCTTTACCTAGGGCTAGAATCGCAAGTCGACACATCAGTCGAAAAATATATTTTATATATATTTTAATTAGTGGCAATGATTCTGGCAGAAGTGCAATTAAAAAGTATTGTTGTAACTGTATTGTTGGACGTCGAAAGGTAGGATGTTGTGCCCATATAATGACAGTAATATGGTATTTGAGTTGGGCACGACATCAAACAAATATTTTTCCTCCGGCTCAATTCCTGGATGATGTACTAATTGTGTATGACACAAATGATGTATGATCATAAAATACCTAACAACTACATATAACTTGATATTGTATGTGAGAATAACAATAAAATGATGAATAAGAAAAAAAACTGTAGTTATTTCTGAAAATTAAAATCATTTTATATCTTAAAAATCCCGACTTTTTTTAATACCAATTCCTTAATCATTTCATTCTTTAAATTGTATATTATCGTTTCCATATGCTTTTATATGTGTGCACCTAGGGCCAAAGTGTCTATGGGTAGTGGGCATTCCCCTTTCACAGTAAAATATTGCCACGCCTAGCAGAATACCGGATAGAATAGATATATATCGGAATAGATAGATACTGAATTTCGAAAGAATTTTTATTACGAGAAATGACCTGCAGGTGAGTGATTCTGTGTTGCGTTCCGCGGCTCAACAGTTTTTTTTTTATGTTAGAGGGGGCAGACGAGCAGACGGGTCCCCTGATGGAAAGTGACCATTGCCGCCCATGAACGTCTGCAACTCAGGGGTCACAAACGCGTTGCCGGCCTTTTAGGAAGGAGTACGCTCTTTTCTTGAAGGTCGTTGATGTTGGGAAATTTTATAATCTCTTTTTTTTTCATCATGTCCAATCTTTAATTGAAGCTAATGCATGGTTATCAATGTATTGAGACGTTTCAATCAATCATCTGAAAATTGAATACGACGAGAAGATCATGCCAAACATGGAGAAGTGGACAACGAAAACAAAATGGAAATAAAACTTGTCTCAAAGACGAGTGCCGTAAATGTACTTACAACTTTTTATTGCAATACAGACAGGACTGTAATGTAAATAATGATTGACAATGAATTTTACAGTAATGGATTTCTCCATTGATATGAAGTCCTTATAAATATTTAGAGTTATTGTAATTAATGGGCGATGTTGGTTACTTGACTTTACTTTTTGTACTTCTTGAATCTTAAATCAAGTTTCGGTCATTCATTTCTTCATTGAACATATTTGGCCTTGAAACTGAAGTATAAATACATCGGTAACGAGTTTTAGTATGAAATGCCCACATTTCGTCGTCATCGAATCGAACCTACTACCTCTGGCTTGATAGTCGGGATCGCCAACCACTGGACCCATAGATCCTTCGAACTTTATTGCTATTAGTTATAACGTCAGAATCAAAATTTATTATTTTGAATCCTTTATTTTTCTGCTTAATTGTTCTCTTACGCTTACATATTGTATATAGCCTGTTGTTTAGGAATAACGACTGCTAAGCATTAGAACGTGAGCTCAATTCCCAATAACCCGTTACAATTTTTTCTATATCTGGTTGTATACCGGCCTCAGGCTCTTCTCAGTTTGGGATCAGATGTTCTTGGTGTGAGATGTGTCAGTGTTGTACTTTTTTACACCAGGAACCAGGAATTTAAATTTTGATCTTATAAATCTGTCATCCATGTGTCCATCTGCCATCCAATGTGTGGTCTAAGTATTTGAGTAAATTGATCTAATTGTTACGACCTACGCCATGATACCATCGAATGACATCACTATCATTATTCTATTTCCATGTGCTGCCGTCGAACAGATATAAAACCGGCCGTAAAGCTTTTGTCATGTGCGATGTAGTCGCTCAGTCAGATAATTATTTTACAGATTTATTATTTCCAGGAACTGTTGGATGCAGATAATGCGGAGGGAAGTGATGATTGGCTCTTGTTTTTAAACACAACCTATCTAGTTACAGGGTATCTGGTTTTTAATCGACTTCAAACAGGAGGAGGTTATCGATTCGGATATTTTTTTTTTTTTTTTATGTATGTTCGGTCATAACTCTGTCATATATAGACGGATTTGAAAAAATCTTTTTTGTTCGAAAGAGGTTTATTCCGAAATAGTCCCCCACTTAATTTTCGAAGCGTGCGAAGTGGAGGAGAATGCATCGGAAAGCGGACCCGGGCGCCACCAGGCGCAACCGGGATTAACGCTCGGATGATGATGATGAGTCCCATTAAAATTTCATATAGATCTGATGATGAGTTTTGGAGACAGACAACGGAACTCTTTAAAAAATGACAGCAAATACAACCGCGATTGCTGCTAGTTTTTCAGTGCTCTGTGTTAGTTTTGTTTGAAGTCGGTTTTTGTTTCAGAAGAATTTATTATGAAAATACATTTGAAAATATAACAAGCAGAAGTAGAAGAAACTCAAGCAAATTAAGTAACCACGAGAAACTTAGTTTTATACTTCGTTCAAAACAAATTAGTTATTTTACCGAAAGAACGACAATGCATCGTTTGTCGCACTTTCAAAGTGTTGAACTTTTAAAATTTTGTAGTGTATTTTTTTACTGCACACATTGGCATTGGCATCTTACTACCAAAGCGGGTGTGACTGAAACTGCTTACTTCTAACATACTCTTAAGTCGAGTTCAGCTGGCGTTTTCGAGCCGTGCATCGTGCATCTATAGCTTTTTAAGGTTTTATAAAAAAATAAAGTTGACTCCTTATAACACTTAACGTATCATTTATTTATGAAATCGATACCCATGTGAAAATAGATGGCAATTACCAATGTATTCCTTTGTATAATATTTGACATCATGCTTTTTTATAATTAAATATAATAATATTTTATAACACAAATACTGTAAGGCCACACAGATAATCCCTTAGGGGGTAATCTATGGGCTTTCATCCATTTATCAATCAATAATAACCTGACATGACGTTTCTACGATTAGAATGAAGTATCGATCGACGTCATATAAGACGGCCTTTTCACGACCCGGTTATATATATTTCAAAGCAGTATCTAGAACTTTACTTGCAGTGTTATGCGTTTAATTTAGACTAGTTATATCTATTGGTCAAATTTGACCATGATCAGCACTTTTAATAAATAAAAGAACAATAAGAAAAAAAATTACAAAGAGTTTGCTCGTTTGCCAAAAAAGAAAGAAACCCAGTATTGAATTTAATGGATTTTATTTTATAGTCTGTATTATGTCTAAAAATTAAATCGAAGTTCGCTTAGAAGTTTATCAATAATTTCAAATTCATGATTTTATTGAGAATAATATTAGGTATTCGTCCCTGTTTCAATGAGATTAGAAGTCTGATCAGTTTTATCATTATTGGTATTTTCTCAGACGTAGTAGAGTTAGACCATATGGTTATGATACTTGAGCCACAAAGAGATTCATAAACTTAATAAACATACAATCTCATTCATTCATTCATTAAAGTAAACAGTAAAGTTTCACGCTTTTTTCGCAGTTTTATCAAATTACAGAAATATTTGTTATTTTCATTATTACCGATTGTGTTTTCAATATTGTTGTACAGATGTATGTTTAGTTAAGTAAGTTGTTTATTGTTTTTTTGTAACGGTATTGCAAATAAAACTGAGTAAGAGAATTATTATGCTGTTATGTGTTTTGATGTTATGGAATTTTATTTATTTTATACTTACAATCGTATAATACAAGACAACACATCCATATTATTCATACTAATAATATAAATGCGAAAAGTGTGTTTGTCTATCTGTTACCTTAACGCTTAACCCACTGGACCGATTTATATGACAGAGGGTGGGGACCTTAAAGAGGGTGAAAACTGGAGTGGAAGTTTGTATGGGGTATCAATAACCGCTAAACCGATTAAAATGAAATTTGGTATGAAGATAGTTTGATTCTTGAGGAAAGACATTGGCTACTGTTTACTGCGATAACCGACATACGGCAGGCGGAACAGCGGGCAAAAGCTAGTAATGAAATTAAGCAGGAGACTGCATAAGTAAAAATAAGGCTTCAAGTCATTGAGTCCATTAAACTGAATGAAAACTTGTAAACAGTGACTTCTAAAAACTCTGCACAAAAAAATACACTATCACTATTAAATGTAAGCATCTAACCAGCCGGATAGTGTATTTTTTGTAGTCGATAAGTCGCTTCCTATACAATGAGATCACGTTATCTGGTGCACGACTTATGGTCTCCTCCTATGATGTGACCCAACGCAAATTAGTAGTGGAATATTAATAATGAGCAGTCTTCTCTAAGTTTATGTACTTTTTTTTCTAGTACGGTGCCTATTTTTGAGACCTGAATGCAATTCTCGTAAAAAAAAGTTCGGTCTCAATACAGTTCCGATCAACTTTTGATCTCACAACTGTCAGAAAATGTATTTTCGTAGTAAAGTAATAAACATCCAACGTTGACTGTATGTAATTTTTGTATTGTAACTAAAAAATTGAATTCGTAATCTGCTAGTCTTAGTAATACTTTACTATTTTAATAAACTAATAACAGTTGTGAGATCGAGAGTTGATCGGAACTGAATTGTGACCGAACTCTTATTACGACAATTGACCTTCTGGTAATTGTCTTGAAATCCGAAACTTCCTACAAAAAGATATTAATAGCAGACTTTGTCAAACTCAAACTCTCTTTATTTCAATTTTTTTTTATTGTTTTCTCGTCTTCGTCTTTTAAACGTCTTTCTCGTCGTGTGTTGATCTATGACTCTAAAGTCATAGATCAACACATACAAAAGCAACAATCTCTGTTTTGTCAAATGTACACCGAAAACCTTAGATATACCTATGTAGCACTCCTACATCACTAGCCCGAAATAATATTGTTTTCGAGTGTGATAAACAATGTTAGTGACGCACCTAATAAAAGCTAAATGTATGTAGATACGGAAAAAAGGCTCATATTAACCTCATATTACAATCCAACAATGAACATTCAGAGTAAACTAGCTAATGTTAAGCCCTTATTTAACCCCCTTAGGGGTGGAATTTCCAAAAGTCCTTTCATAGTGGGTGCTTACAGCATAAAAAGCATTAGCTGTCTAAACTTCAAGCTTGTATCTCCAGCAGTAAAAATCCCAAATAGTTTTATATGTATTAATAACCTCCCTAATTCAAGTATTTACAGTGTACGAACATACAGAATATGTATATATATATATATATATATGTGTGTATTGTATGATATATGTTAATTTTGTTTAGTTTTACACGCTTATTGATAAAAAAATAATTAGGTATAATCGGTGATTACAGTTGTAACCTCGGTGGGCCTACCCTATAAGATTTCTACACCACCTAAAGGTTGGCTGGTAGAGAATACCAAGGGCATTAAGTCCGCCGATGTACATAAGTGCATAAAGATGTAAAATAAATAAATATATAAAATGAACATAGTAAGCGCTAGCAATTCACTTATACTTTACCAGCAAATTATTTTAATCTTCGGGGAATATATTCGATGAACGTACAATTAATCCATTCTCTATAACTTGCGCTTGTGAACTTGTTTGTAAAAATATTATTAGGTTTGTTGTTGAATATTGGTATTTAATTATCTAAATAATGTTTTATGATAGACTTGAATGAATATTATAAAGAAATATATATCTACCACACCGCGCATTAAGAACTTTTCCAAGAAGAAATTTGAGATAAAAAACATTACGGTAATATTTTATGGAGGTTTACTATGTTCATACTTAAGTGTTCTACTTAAAGTACTAATCAAAGATAAATTTAAATGTGTTTTGTATGCGACTTCCTTCTTACATTTATTTCTCACCATTGAAAAGAATAGACGACAATATTAAGACGCATAAACGAGAATAAACAATCAGTCAGCAAGCCTTGAACTTGTTAAATTGTTTAAATACGAATAACACGACTAGCATATAAACAACATATTGTTATTACTACTATCAACAATGGTCGCATATGTATATACACTTTACCAAATTAAACCACGTATGAAGTAATCATACCACGTATTTAAGCTACTTAAGGACTCCTTAAGAAACGGCTAGCTGACAGATAAATATTTATTTTCGGACACTGATTGACTGAACAACGAATGTTACAATATGATACTTTATAGTAGATTACAAAATGTTTTTTTTTAAAGACAACTCCCGCACTACATACATGAAACGGACACAAAGAACACCTAGACTCAGAACGACAATTTGTGGCTTAAACCACTACGCCTTCCGTGCAGTCGGCATGTTTGTAAATTGACCGAAGGAAACAAAAGGTCGTCTACTTGGAGACATGCTCCTATTACATACTACGAAACCCATAATGTGAATCCACATAAAACCTCTAGACAAAATGCTCAGTTGCATCTCTTTACCTGTTAACAGAAATGGAGACCTATCTGAATATTATTGTTTATACTCTCAGTCTGTTTTTGTTTGTGTGGAAATCCCCCCTCAAGTCTACATCTTACCACCATCATCAGCTGCTTACCCTTATCTCAATTTTATTTGGGTACGGTGCAGTAAGTATGATTCTTCCATTCTATTCTACTCGTCATCTCACTGTTTACTCCCTTCCTAGCCATATCCTCACTCACACAGTCCACCCACCTTTTCTTTGGTCTGCCTCTTCTCTTGTACCCTTTAACTTCCATTCCTAACACGTTCTTCGGAACATTTTTCTTATCCCTCTGCATGACATGATAGTTCTACCAAGATAACATTTTACTTCTTAACTTTTCATCTAGTATCGCTACTTTCAGAATCTCTCTTATAAACATACTCATTCCTGACCTTGTCCATCCGAGTCACACCACACATCCATCTCAGAATTTGCATTTCGGCTACGTTCAGGCATCTTAGAGTCTAAATCTTATCATCTAACTTAATTTGTGGAAACTGCTTGACTAAATTCTAAGACTATTATTATGTAAAAGTAATCCTTAACACACAGCTTGCACAAGCTCTATATTCCAACACACCAGCTGAACAAACCAGCTTATTTTGCTCTCAAAATATTAAATATGCAATATGTCTGTATTAGAATAATAATATGACAAACACGTATATGCAAAATGGTATTATAATTTAAAATAATGACTCACCAAAACGCGTGGAGGCGCTAGGCGCCTCGAATAAGCATACGAATTAATAAGAATAAGCCATTATGACATTAGTTGCTACGCATGTGTGATGTAACAGATCAGGGCTGTCAAAAATCATTAGAATATGGGCCAAGGTCCTCATAGTTTAATATGTTGATTTATAACAAGAAATGATTAAAGAAAACTATATTTTATATCGATTCTGTCGATTAGAGTCTGTTCGAGAATTACTAGAAAGAGAATGCTCGTTGCTATAAAGGTACTTCGTTGCTATAAGGATGTGTCTTCAAGGTATAATAATCCATACTTATATTATAAATGCGAAAGTGTGACTGTCTCTCTGTTACCTGTTCAAGCGTAAACCACACGATTTAAATGAAATTTGGTAGAGAGATAGTTTGTTTGTAAAATTGATATGGCGATAGTTTGGTTCTTGAGAAAAGACATAGGTTACTCTTTACTGCCATAGCCGACAAACACGCGGGCGGAGCCGCGGGCAAAAGCTAGTATGTTATAAAACTACTTCATATGTTGTACAAATATAGTAAAACGATAG